CCCTGAAAATAGTTTTGTAATGGACAACATTTTCCTCCAACCCCAATAGCACACCATGCTCTAATGCTCAGTTTTTTTTAAAGATTTTAATCTGGAAACAGCAACTAAATCCAAATTGTATTCCTTTATTTTAACAGTACAACTCTTTATCAGTGTTTTTCCTTCTTACTGAAAACTTCTCTGTGTATCCCAGAGACATCATTGAGGACATTTTGTCTGACTGTGAGCTCTCTTGGCTTGAGCAAACCAAATGTCTTGACCAGCTCCCAAAAGAGGGGATTTGTGAGCTTACACCACCCACTACTCCTCCTTAAATCAATCAAGCTGCTCCGGTTTGTGTGCCTGGACCTGCGTCATGGTGTGGTTTGTAAATACATCTCAAAGCCATAGATGTGAAAGTTGAAGGGTGAACGGAAGACAATTGTTTATACAAGTGATCTTGTGTTCCTTGAAAAGCGTTCAACTATACTGTAGAAAAATATGGACGTACAAGTGTTCTTGGGGTTATTCACAGTTGTTTCTTTGGATTACCAATATATTAGTTGCTTTGGGCCAATACATCCAAATGTTGGTACATGACTGGGACTTTGTGGAAAGGTGGTTGCTCTAGCATAATGCGAAAATAAGTAAGGAAAATATGTTGTCCATCAAGCTATCAGGCTAAAAGAGGTCATTAAAAGCGGAATTAATAAAAACGACCACCAGCGCATAATAAAAATACGTCTTTTGTCTGTGCTGCTCAGATTTAAATGTACAGCATTTCTAGATTCTTTAGATGCATAATGTGTTATTTTCAGTGAAAGCTCCTGTTTATTTAACCAGCTGCACCAGAGGCGGTTGTCTTGAGTATCCAAACTTCAAGTCTCTGCCCACACATGAAACAAGCCGGATGTCCATGGCAACGTTATCCCTCTCACAGCTGTATTACAAGCACAGAAGGAAATGACCAACATTAAACGAGTGTAGCTTCTTCACTGGGCCTGGACACAGCAGACGAGAACAGTTAGAACCTGTAACTTTGACAGTTCGATTAATCATTTTGAGTTTATATGAATCACACCGACACAGCAGCTCTTCAGTACACCGGCGTGGTCTCCTCCCCCGGTGCTGACAGAACAAAGGGTTTCTAGAGAAGAGGGTTGACAGAGTTCGGGAGCCACTTGTCGCCTCTCTCTTTACACCTCCTGGTCAGCACTCAACCTCACTCTGCAGCGCCACGTGTTACTCTCTCACCCACTACCCAGGAACCCCCTGGGGATGTGAAAAATAAAACAGATTTAATATGTCTTATGTAACACCATGCAGTGTGTACTGAACCTATCACGAGGTATTTAATAGGGCACAGGGCAAAGATTATTTCTAGCTATACTTTTTAAATCCTGGGAAGTTACATGAGCACAAAACCAAACTATGGTTTTAAGAGCAAAATTATTTTCTGATGCATCCAGCATTTAGTTTGCTGGCTTAGAGAAACGACAGTGCTGATTTAAGGGCGAAAATATTATAGTATTCAGATTTTATTTTTTTTTAAATCTAAAAATTGTTTAGAAGAAATAATTTTGTTATACTTTCTTTTACCTAAAAAAACCCATTTGTATGTTCTCACATTTAAAACGAAGTGGGCTTACTTAGTTGAAACTAAAATAACATGGTTGAGCAAACCGCAGTCATTATCACTCTTCAAGTAGCTGCTTCACAGTAAAGCCATAATCCAGTCCTTTCACTGGAAGGCTTTTAAAGTGAAGCGGCAGCAGGGAATGTTTTGATTTCATTAACAGCGCTGCACGCGTGCATTCGCCTTCTAAAGAAACTGAGGTCTGCTGCTCTTGTTCTTGCACTGTTTTGTCTCCATGAGTCACTTTGTCAAAGATTTTCTTTTCCATTTGTGTTTACATGGTTGAAAATAAAACTAACTTTCAGTTCATCCAGCACTTGTATAAGCAGGTTCATAGCCCTTTAGCAAAATACGTCTAAACACAGAGAATAAGCATCACAAGATTTAAACATCTATCAACTAAAAACAAGTATGGCTACTGGCAACACTGACTTAAGATAGTAAAAGCATTGTGTTGACCGACAATTGAATACATACATACATTTATAAAATGTACTTAAAAAATCTTTTCAATTTGTATTTGGACACCTGCCAGTAATTAATTACTCTTCTTTGTGCATTGTTACTATTGTGTGTGTGTGTGTGTAATGCACTAAGTAGGATCAGGTGATTACTCTATTTGTTGTCTCCATTGTCCTGCAGTAATCTCCATTCTCAGACACAACCTTGTTGATTATCAACCTGACTCCTGGGTCACATCCCGAATGGATTTTGTGGACACACACACACACACACACACACACACACACACACACACACACACACACACACACACACACACACACACACACACACACACACACACACCATTTAGGTTTGCTCACTCACCAGCGGAGCGGACAAATGCACACCTATGGGAACAGCAGGAGGGTGGAGCAGGAATATTGGATTGGACGTAGGCGTGTGTGTTCATGTGTGTCTTCATGTGTGTCTTCATGTGTGTGTTCATGTGTGCTGCGGAGGCTCTTATCAGTGTTAAACAGCTCTGAGTCGCGTGCTTGTTGACCTCAACAGGTCATCATCACACAGCCTCTGTAAAGGCACAACACTCAGCTTACACCTGTTAACAATTAAGAGCGAGACAAAGACATGTTCTTTGTAGAAAAGTCAATATTAACAGACAGCTGGGTTTGCATCTGGGCCCACAGCAGTGATTTGGGATATGTTGGTACATTTACCAACAACCAGACATGTTTAACATCAGTGCTGATTTTTTTAAATCTCTCAAATATTTTTCTTCCACATTTAGTGAAGGTCTAAACAGTAAGAAAATGAAATGAGTCTTCTTTTTGAATTGAGTCAAAAACAAAAGAGATTTTGTTTCCGGGTATTAAGTCTGTTTGTCCGTCAGCATCACATGAAAACCAATGACCTGATATTCATGCAACTGTGGGCATGTGCAAAGAAAGAACTCATTAAATGTTGAAGCAGATCAAATATTGCTGCATATGCACAAATCATGATTTTGCGAGATAAGCGTCTGTGTTGCATTTATCTTATGTCAGAATAATGATTAAAATGTGACTGACAAATCCCGCTATCAATATGTTGTTTTAAAGGTTTGAGAAATAAAACACAACACCTTCTTTGTAGCTTCCATGTTATTCCCACATTATGACTTCTAGCTCATAGACACACACAACAATGAAGGGCGCTACATAGAAAGTCAGAAACTTACCAAAGGAAGAAAGGTTGATCCTCTGGGGAACATGAATGTTTCCGTTTCCGGACCAAATGTTATAGATCTTACATTTTATCAGTGCTTTGTTGCTTGCATGGTTTGACATGTATACGCATTTGATGTTCATCTTTGACTGAGAGCACAACTCCAGCAAGTTTAAAGAGCAAATTGATAGTTTCCGGAAATAAATGGAAACAATAGCTACCTGAGAAAAAAATCTAAAGTTTAAATTTGACTGCATGCAATGTGACATAATCAGCATTTCAATAATATATACAGTAAATGCAAACAATCTGGTGGTAGATTTGGTGTTTTAACAATGGCTGCTGCTAGCTGTGGCTAAATTGCAATTGTCCGGAGTGTTTATAATCCCTGTGTGAAAGTGTCTGTCTGGTTGGGTGGCTGCCTTTCAGAAGAGTGTGTACTACTGCAGGTCTCTTTTGTGTGTGGGTGTGACATCTGAGTGTTACGGTTGTCGTCAGTGTCTCTCAGTGGGCACGAGTGTGTTTGTGTGGGTCTTTGTGCGTGCTCTCTGTGTGCGTCTTGTGTTTGTGTCCTTTAAATCAACAAGAGGAGTGCTGCGCTTAATGGGCTCTAAAACCTGCCGACTCACTAACATTTTGCATTGACGGAGCCAGAGAGAGAGAGACAAACAAAGAGAGGGAGAGAGGGAGTTTGTGTGGGAGAGAAAGAGAGAGAGATACAAATTAAACGTAGGAGAGAGGAAGGTGTTTCTGCAGAGCGAAAGAAAGTGGAGGTGAGAAAGTGGAATAATGTGTACACTCAATAAATAAATGTGTGTGCAAATTGGCCAGTTTCCATTACCTGACACTGTGTTACCATGGAAACATGCTGATGATGTAGCAGGACATTCAGTAGGATGTTCTTGTGCTTTATTGGCCATGAAATATATATTTGTTTGGATTTAAGTGGCCATTGCTTCTAAACTACTAATTCTTCACTTTGAACCTTTTCTTTACTGTGCTGTGTCAGAGGTGGTCACAGGGAATGCATCACAAAGTGGTGTTACGCGTAAGCACTGGTATTTTATGCAGGTATTCTCATCACAACCCTCGATAAAAGGCCAGTGTTTGACATGTTTCACATTGCTGCTGCTGGATGAAAACCTTGGACACACAATATATAATTTAATGCGTTTTATCTTAGCTTACAAAATGTTTTTTCTGTGAATGCTACAGTATGACCATGAAACTTGCCCAAAAAATAGGGACGTTTTATCAGGAATGGACATTTCTTGGACAATAAAATGATGATGATACTTTTTTATGACCTAGGATCAGTGAAAAACTGCGATTACCACTTAAAAACTGTGGGTTTTGCAGCCGAGTGTGACTGTGCTATCATAAATAAAAGGAATGATCTTACTGTAAGTCAACAGGAAGCTGTGAATATGATCAAAGTCAAGTCAAAGATACCTTTCTACTTGCTTTTACAAAAAAATGAAACAGGTTGCCAAGCCAACTGTTGTTGTAACCAGGGAAAATGTTTTCTTTGTTGTTGTGCCTCATACCTGTTGGCCTCATTGTCTCTTGTTTTTGCAGCCCCCACGCACATTATTCGGCCGACAGTGAAGTGCTTTTGCAAAGTTAGAAAAGTTAGATGACTAAACTTTTCTCTGTCTTGTGCTTCCTCCTCTTGTCCTCTCTACACAGGAAACAGTAGAATATGCCTTCCTGATCATTTTCACTATAGAGACATTTCTGAAGATTATTGCCTACGGCCTGGTCATGCACCAAAACTCCTACGTCAGAAACGGCTGGAACATGCTGGACTTTGTCATCGTCATAGTGGGGTAAGTTCATAGGTAGAGCATAAAATGTACATGTAGACACCCAGGGTCAAAGATATAAACACACACACTCACATTGTTTCTTACAAACTGAAGCAATACACACCATGGCTTATCCTGTTCCCTGTTGTACCTAGACCCATACTCACTCATGAATTGCAAAAGCATTACAGCTGCAACGATTAGTCCGGTGTTTTAACAGAAAATATTAATTACATATTTTATTTAGCAATTTTCTCATGCAAACATGGTCAGAACATTCTCAAATACGAGACTTCCTGTTATCTTCTGTTTATATCCTTTCAAACTGAATATTTTGGGTTTGGACTGAGAAAACAGACATTATCTTGGACTTTAAGAAACTGGGATGGACATTTTCCTCTATTTCCTGACATTTGATAGACCAAACGATTCATCCATTAATCTAGACATTAATTGGCAGATTAATCAATAATAAAATGATCTTAAAATTCTCTCCGCTATTTGCCTGACTCACAGCTGATCCTTATAATGTCCAGTAGAAAGCTGGCAGTAATGTTTCGGCACACACATGAACACACACACAGCCTTGTTTAGAGTGATGGGTTATCAGTGGACCACCTGGCCCCAGTAGGACTTCAATGTAAACTGTGATGAGCGGTGAAAAGCTAAAAGGTAAACACACACACACACACACACACACACACACACACACACACACACACACACACACACACACACACACACACACACACACACATATAGCATGTCATATAAGCACACACTTGCACACACACCCAGAAGCAGGTACACAGAGGACACATGGCTTTGTTTTCTGTTTTCATCTCTCCCCCTTTGCCTCTCTGCTCTCCATCAGGTTGTTCAGTGTGGTTCTAGAGATGATAACCAAAGACGCTGACTCGGGCGGCCAGTCTGGAGGAAAACCCGGGGGCTTTGATGTCAAGGCCCTCCGAGCCTTTCGCGTGCTACGACCCCTCCGCCTTGTCTCTGGAGTTCCTAGTGAGTTCACATGGAGCTGTTTCTGAAGACAACAGACGAGGAATGGAGAAGGTTGTTGGCCAGCAGGCAGAATGGCAGACGAACAGACAGGAATCCTGGAGCACAGGAAAACATTAACTAGGAACACAATAAATACTCTCCACAAAACATGCTAGAGCTAGTGTAGGTAGTGTTTTTTTGTCAAGTAACATGTTTTATAAACCTGGAGAAATAGATGGCGGGTTAGCCAGCTAGCAACCAAGGGCTGCGCTAATGAGCATGTTAGCCTAGCTTGTAAGCCTCAGCTAGCTCGCAAAGTGGCGGGAGCAGGCGGTAGTTAGACAACCAAGTCGCTGCCAAGCCTAATTCGGGTTTCACAGCAACTCAGCAGAATCCTATGTGTGACATCAGGGACACCATGTTGATTTATATACAGTCTATGCATGTGACACACAGCTGAGCAGCATATGAAATGTAACTCTCACCTCAAGCTGACGAGGACAAAGATTTCTCATTTGGCACTTAGAGAACCTTTGTTGTTGAAGAAAGCAGGGAAACACGCAAACATAATGAAAAGCACCCAAAGGTCACCAAACTCTAGGAAACAACAACAACAACAACAATAACAGTGTAAATAAAGGTGCAATACAGCTAACAGGTGAGTGAGAAACAGCTGTCAATCAAGCAGAGTGTGTACACACCACACAGTGTTTAGAAAGAGTCTAATCAGACAACAAAAGTTGAAAATACACCTGTGCATGAAATGTTAGTGTGAAGGAGGTTTTATACAAATCAAATCAAATCAAGTTTTATTTATATAGCACATTTTAAAACGATTTTTGGTCGAGCCAAAGTGCTGTACATATACAACCTAAATATTATATATATTTCCATCTGCTTAGTCCAATCCCATAATTATCCAGGAGACAATGCCTCCTTCACTGTTTCTGTTCATGTCTGACCTTACATGAAGTTGCCCTAATGTGTCTGCATTCTTTGAGTTGCCATAGCGATGCATCATCTCCCAGTCTCTGGGCAGACGGGACCTCTGGGAAAGATGAGCTGAGATGACATTTTCAGTTCTATTCTCGTTTAACATTTGTCTTTGTCGGATGGTATGTGCAGTTTAATTAAACGGTGATATTTGGGCTTGTTTGCTGATGCCACCGAGGGTTGGCTTCTATTCCTATTCAGTCATATCAGAGGCTTTGAGAGAAATACACCAGGCCATTACAACAACCCAAAGATTGCAGGGGTTTTGTATGAGTCTGTTTGATTTTCTGTGCTTATCGTTTCTTTATATGATTGAATTGAGAAAATAATTCATCAGTAATGAAAGTTATTCATGTATGAAAGGCAGTTGACCTAATAATTAAAACAAAAGCTGATGTTAGTTCAGTTTACCAAATGCTATTGCAATATCGATCTGCATGTTTTGCATAATGCAATATATTTTTGGACAACCATTGCATTTTCTTTTTTTACGCAAACACAATTATTTTGGGTATTATTTTTTCAAAAAAGCTAATGCAATGTAACACCTGTTCTTCATGGGTCTCTCCTGCAACTTAATTAATATCCTGCTTCTAGTTTTTCTTGCATCGGCGACGACTCAAACTTGGGACGCCTTGGGTATACAGGGTTTACAGAAGTGGCAAACCGTGTATTATCATCAGTATTATTAGTATTATCTACTGGACCTTCTGTAGACCTTTTTTTATAATGTCCTTTTCTCTGAATTGTCGTCTTGAAAAAGTTACTGACAACAATTCCGCAACAACATCATCTTCACCTGTTGCACTTGCAATTTCAGCGTTAAAAACAATAAAACGGCAAATGAATTACTACGTCGCATTCATCTAGATCCTCTGTCTCGAGCCAGTGAACTACCGGGCCTTCTAGAATACCCTGGAACCGAGGGAAACTCTGAAAGAATACGCCCATTGGCTACAAATCAATATATGATTGGTTGATCAAACTGTCAATCCAAACGTACGCTCTCATTCAGTGCAACGGCCAGGGCCTTCTATCAAGGATATAGAATACCTTGGTTGAAGGATATTCTACCCAGAGACCCAGAAAAATATCTGATTGGTTGCATTTCTTTTCTAACACAAAACCACTGAAATGCGTAGTGCATGGACCGAGAAAGACAAACAAATCAATGTAACACTGTAATATTACAGATTAACAACACAGATACGATTCTCATTTATTCATTTTATTTACATTTTATTTATATAATTAAATACAATTTTTTGTTTGTTTTCTCTGAGTGTTCCAGGGTATTCTTTACAGTAAGGATATTTCTGTCTGTTTGACCGTTGCCTCTGTGTGTTTGCAGGTTTACAGGTCGTTTTAAACTCCATTATTAAAGCCATGGTTCCCCTGCTCCACATCGCTCTGCTGGTCCTCTTTGTCATTATCATCTATGCCATCATTGGCCTGGAGCTCTTCATTGGCAAAATGCACGCCACATGCTACATAAGACAAACAGGTATGGTTTCAATGAGTGTTGTTACATTTTTGGTTTAATTTCATTTGGGTTTTAGCAATGAGACTTGCCCTTTTTTTCACCTTTTAAACCCTTTTTAAATCTTACATACATCCCGCAGTATGAGCAGGCGTATGTCATTTTAGGATGGATGCAGGTTTTAATCCCTGACACATGTACCTTGTATTTGAATGGTGACAAGCTACAGAAAACAGGGCAGAACAACAGATGGGGGATTAAATCCAGTGATTAAATGACTAATATATGGCTATTATGTAAACAGGCTTGGCTTTTACTCCAGCATTGCTTTCAACATGGCAGAAATATTCAAGAAGCAAGGAGAAATTGATTGAAGCATGTAGACCTATACTTTACATTCACACACATGCATACAGCCACAGTCATAGTGCATGATGGCTGCCAGACAGAAGCTTAAATAACAGATTGGTGGAAAATATAGCAATATGACAGCACTTTGTACACATCTTTCCACACACCTTTCACCTAATGGACCCTCGCTTTGATGTGTTTTGATCTTGTCGCTTGTGGACGTCAGGAAAAGCATTGTAGGCTAAGATTTCGAGTTCATGACGGATCGAGATGGAAGCTGCCTTTAATCCCCCCTCACTCACCTCTGCTCTGTGTGCCCTGAGAAAGGCACTTATTCTGTAGCTTGTAGTGTGTGTTTGTGGTGTGTCTACCAGAACATATGGGTATGTGTGTGATTTTGTGTGTGTGTGCATGCATTGTGTTTCTTTGCAATGGTTATATAATGATTTCCTGATGACAGAACATCTAGTAATGCAATGTAAACTAGAGAACTGAATGAATAGTATATGGACATATGTTTGATGATAAGCTTAATGAAAATCTCTTTATACATGAATTATTTAAAAAATGAAGGTAATCATTTCTGGAGCTTTTTCAAGATAATTCAAAGGAAAATGCACTTATCAAAAAAGAGAGATTATGAGAAATGATTACACATCCTACCAAAGGAAAGAAAAATTGCTGGTTGGCAAGACAACGTATGATAACCAGTATAGAGGAAGATTATACATTAGTATAATTAGGGCCAGTTTTATAATGGCAGTGCTGTAACGTAATGTATGTAACAAAAGGCTTTTGGTACAAAATAAAATCAGTTAAAAGGGTTTTTAAGATTGAAAAACAGAGGACGTTTTAAACTAAAGGTATCAGTGCAGAGGCCTGTGAAGTGTTTCAGACCATGGGAATATTAATGTCAATGGTTTTGATTATTTTTTCGCTTTTTGTTAGTAGATTCATCTGTATAACTCTGATCCCCCAGGTGTCCTCGCGGAAGAGGAGGCCACGCCATGTGCGGTGTCTGGTCATGGCCGCCACTGTTTGCTCAATGGTACATTTTGCAGAGAGGGCTGGCAAGGACCCAACAACGGCATCACAAACTTCGACAACTTTTTGTTCGCCATGCTCACTGTGTTCCAGTGCATCACCATGGAGGGCTGGACCGACGTTCTCTACTGGGTAATCTGCCGCTCTGCAAATATGCCTCACACGGGGCACCATGTTTTTGGTTTATAAATGTCAGTTTTCAGGTTTTTTTTATTGGATTTTGACAGGAAAAACAAGGAGTTACTGAAAATCTGCAGGCTACAACAAACATGTCATAATGCGCTCCTCATCAAATGTTATGGCAAAATCAACCCGCGCATTTGTATGTTGCAATTTCTCGTTTGACGACCGATGTGAAGCTTTTGGACGTAAACAAAGTTATTTTTGGTATCTTTGTATCCGGCATAAGCTTATGTAATGTAACATCTGTAATGGATTTTGACGGATAAATAACTTTGCCTGCTACATGAACAACGAGAACCTAAAATATAATATTGTTTCTCCCACAAATTCAAACCATATGAATCTTTTTTTTTAACAAAGTAGTTCTCATTGAGAGCGGTAGGCTGAACCATTACCAATCTTTGAGTTAATAACAAGTATTTTAAAACCAAAAGAGGCCAGCCTCACTTCAAAACCCTCAGCCTCATTAACAATGATCACCAACAGCTTTTAATTATCCAAAACACTGAGCACTGAAGCTCAATTCAAAGTGAGTTTTCATCGAAATCCACCCACATCCTTTTATTGATGGAGACCCTCATGGATGGAATAATGAACCTCTCTGCCTCCTTCTCGGCCGTCCTCTTTCTTCCTCACAGACTCTTTACTTCTCTTGTACACATATGTGTTACCATGGCAATCCCATGCTATTACTGCTGATGAAGTGGTGAAGGATGGACGCTCAACAAACCTTAAAGAAGGATAGATAGAAGGATAGCAAAGGATGGATAGATTAAATCTCACCTCTGACCTTTCCTACTGAAACAAATTAAACATAGCTGCAGAGTCGATGCATTGTGACGTCTCTGCAAAGCCAGCTGGTGTAGGGATATCTTTCAAAAGGAATACAAGTGCTAGAGTAGAACTGCATGCATGTAGACAGGGCGTAGAAAAGCATAGGGTTGAGGTTAATTGGAATGTTAAAAATTGGGTTTAAATGGTCAATCATCAGTTATCAACTTGTTCCCAGCTCTATTAAAATACACTTCAGCACTATAGTATTTGCCACTGTCTCATCACAGATATCACATCTGCTAATACCTCATCCACTCATTACTAACCAAGTTTTCTCTTACATGTTGCCCTCTAGTGGTCACATTTCCTGTTCTAGTTTTAGTTGTAGCTCACTGAAGCTTATTTTCCTTTGAAGGAAATGATGTGCTTTGACAAACTCAAGACTACATTATATATACTGTAACATCCAGTACTACATTATTGGAACCTTTGAGCTAAGTAAGATGGGCCGCACTCCACAAATGACACAATAACCTACACACAAACACTATTGACGGTACATGAGATTACCTACATTCTTAAATTGACCCTTTTTTTATGGCTGTGCTCGGAAGAAAAATGTAAACACAATATTCAAAAGCTCTAAATATTGGTATGGGTGTATACAACTGAATAGCATAGTTTATAAAGTGCATGCGAGTATATGTGGTAAATGTGATTTTTACTGGCAGAAGCTGTAAAAGGTTGCAGACACACAACCTAGTCATTTCATGATTCATTTTTTATTGTGCAACACAACAAACAACCAGTCATTCATATTTAAACAGATAAAAATGAACTAGATGTCAAAGCAAACATGTAATATAATTATATAACTTACTCAGTTACCCTGGTCTTGGAAAAGTCCATTTTTGTCCTGGAATTGTCAGATAATTGTTTTTTAGGTTTACTAGAGGGAAGCCGTGCACTTCAAGACACGTTTTATGCCACAGGAAGGAATTGTATGTGATTATGGCATCAAAACAATAGAATGGTTTAATATGTCCATGAAATATCAATGAACCATGTCTAATATTTCAGAATTTGTATTTCTATTCAGATGAATGACGCAATGGGCTTCGAGCTGCCGTGGGTCTACTTTGTCAGTCTGGTCATCTTTGGATCCTTCTTTGTTCTCAATTTGGTTTTGGGAGTGTTGAGTGGGTATGTGTTGAGACATTATGTTGTCCTTTATTTCCCAATCAAAAATATTTCAAACACTAAGAACATTTTGAGACATCTTCAAAATCTCCCAAATATAAGGAATGTCATTACAGGGTTAGAAAGTAGATTGTTTGGTGTTTCATGTTAAAGTGTTATCTGAAAGCTGACAGTCATTCCACTCTGCCCTTTCCAGAGAGTTTTCCAAAGAGCGAGAGAAGGCCAAGGCTCGGGGAGATTTCCAGAAGCTACGAGAGAAGCAGCAGTTAGAGGAAGACCTGAAAGGATACCTGGACTGGATCACGCAGGCAGAGGACATCGACCCCGAGAACGATGAGGAGGGAGACGAGGAGGGCAAGCGTAACCGTGAGTTTCCTTGATTTAATCAATTTTGTCCCTCTCTACGTGTTTAAAGCTGGGAAATAACGATTGCAAACAGAGCTGTGAGTTACCAACCATTATTATTTTCTCAATTTTATCTATCTCTTGGTCTCATTGATGGTGAAAGGAGGCAGATGAGCAGCGCAAACCATTACTCATCCATCTGTTGTTATGCCACCCTGGCTCAGCTAATAATGCATTACTTTTTCCCACAAACAGATGGTAACCAACTCTTTTAAGAATGTGACTGTGACCACCTAAAACGTACAGACCGACAGGTTACCCTTAGAAAAGGACAGGTCTCTAATCAGTACATACTGTAGGGACAGTATCACATATTGCTGGTTGTGGATAACATGCAAATGTCGCCTTAAAAAATGCATTCGATAAAATCTTTATCCAGGCATCCCCTTGTGCAGTTTGGTACACCAGGTCTATTCTACAAGAGTGAATCATACCACCGGAAAATTACAGTTCATTTCAATTCAAGCAGTATGCATCCAAAAATACGGATTACATTTAGTATAGAATGCATTTCAACAAACCATTATATGACTTAGCATTTTTTCTCCTATTTTACAAGGCCGCCATTTTTTGGTCATTGTGTGTCTTATGTTGCTTACATCACTTGAATATGTTGCAGTGGCACAGTGTATAGTTTACATACACATAAAATCAATGTATTACACATGAAGATGCTCCTGATCATCTCTATATCAGTTATATTATTTTATTGGATATAATAAGGGGCTTTTAGTAAAATACTGCCCCTCCACTCTCTCACTGTTTTGCGGCACAACTGAGGTGTTAACAAGTGAAAACTGTGACTCGAGCCGTGGAAGCAGCTTCTGAGGTAGCACTAAGAAAGTGGGCGCCAGCATTGCTTTGATGTTCAGTCTATGGTGCAGCCTTGTGTGTGTGGTAACCATGACAACACAGGGGTAACTGTGGATGTTTGGTCTTGTGTATGTACAAAAGAATATTGCTTATTGTGATATGCAGGAGGCTTGAACAGTATTCAAATATCTAGAAAACGTTCACGTTTGTGATTTTACTGGAACAGTAAACAGGAAGTGGCTGCAGACTGTTTGCTTGAATGACAGTAAACGTTCAGGGTGGGTGGTTGCATGAAGCATTTCAAGAGATTCTTTAGGCTCTCAGTTTAAGGCTACATTTTCTGCAACTAGCATGGCGTCAGGCAGTGTCAATTGTCGACAGTCGAGTTGCATTTTGGGTTATGTGCGCAATCGTTTGACATACTGCTACAGTGCCTTAAAACCATTCACAGTGGTGAGTGTGTTGTCAGTTGTTGATATCCTCCAGTTATCACCCTGCTTTTACCTCTGCTGCTGTTGTAGACTTTAGACCCGACAAACAAACTAACTCTTTCTTCTTGATCCCTGCAGTGACTGTGTGCCTTGTAATTAACTGTCTGTAGATTGCTGCTAACATTAGTTTTCTCCCCTCTCTGCCCTTTCTCTTCCTATTGTTTCTTCATATCTTCTTCTCTTGTTACCAAAAGTCTCTGCTTTCTATCTTCTCCTCCTTAATTGCTAATTATTTCCAGTCCAGAGTTCCCGTTAGAATAATTATTTGCCGGTCAACATGTCCGTTACAGTTTAAATCTTCCGGACAAAATTTGAAAAGTGCCGGTCAAAGGTCTTCTATGTTATTTATTGAGCTTTGAAACAAATTGATATGATTCGATATTAAACAAACTAATTATAGTAGATTAATTAACTATTCAAAAGTGTACAGTAATTTACAATAACACGGGAATAATAAACGGAGCGCTCTCTCCCCCTCTCCTGACAACACGCCAATATCATGCAGCTCGCGGATCCAGTAATGAGTAACCCGACAGTAAAACTAAACATATCTATAACTAGTTTAGGTAGTTTGAGAGGTAATTAAAATAGCTACGTGTGATGTTCTAACCTGAAGTGTGTTTTGCTCCGCTCACCGCTGCAGGGGATCATGCAGAGCTGCGTGTCGACTCGTCAGCAGCAGCCGATCTCTCTCTCCCGTCAGATTAGACTTTACTCGCGTTTGTGTCCATATCGATCAGATCTAGCTAGTTCTAGCTAATGATATGACTACCTGCTTATTAAAAGACACCTAAACAATAAGCGTCGCTATGCAACCGGGTGAGGCCACAAAGTATAGCGCAGCATTATGCATTTGTTTACATGCCCACCGGAGGCATTACCAACAGATCAACGCACAATCAACCCATACAGGACATCTCTTTCTCCACATTAAGTGTAGACATTATAATTGACTATTCTTGTCTGTCACATACTATTCTTGTCTGTCACATACTCTTCTTGTCTGTCACATAAGTGGCGCAACTGATGCGGTATTGCGCTAAGGGGAAACAATTTTGACCGGACATTTTGACCGGAGAGATTTAGATTTGCCGGTCTTCAGCATATTTTACCGGTCATAGTCCGGTAATTACCGGCTAACGGGAACTCTGTTCCAGTCTAATAATGTGGTATTGGTTACTATGTCCAGAATACTTTTAACTTAAAATGCTTAATGAGAAATGTTTGAGAATTTAGTTTGGTTAATATTTGTATATAATTAGTACCGAGATATACTGTATGTATTGAGTAGGGCATTTTAACACTCTCAAACTCTCCAAACTACCTCACACATATCATTTAAATGTCTGTACTGCATTCATTCTCTGTCAGCTGACATAATAATATACATATTATTACTACTTACTACTTTTTCACTTCAGTAGGTAGATATATTTTTTCCTTTCTCTTTGCTTGTTTGTGCCGAACCCCTTTCTGCTAGAAATAAATCCTTAACTGTAGTAGCAAAATATATTCCATGCTCAGATTCTGCAGTTTGTCTTTTATCATTAGACAATAATACTGTATGTCCTTTACACCTGTAGCTATTCTGGACATGGTACCTGTGTCTGTACTGTAGTAATGTAGTACTGTAGCTGTTTTGCCATACATTCCTCTCTCTCTTGTTCTGCTGTGTACTGACTCACTGCTTCCTCTGCTGTCTGGCTGTGTGAACTGCATGTTGGTAACACCAAGGGGTCACGCTGGCTGACCTCACACAGAAGAAGAAAGGGAAGTTTGGCTGGTTCACCCAGTCCACAGAGACACAGGGTAAATGCGTTTGTGTGAGCGAGTGTGTGGGAGTGTGTGTTGTTTTTAGCATGTTCATGAGGACAGTTCATCTTGGTCCTGGAGGGCTCCTCCGCTTGCACGTGCTTTGCTTGTGCTTTTGTGTTTGCATGCCCTTAGTTTCATTTATCAAAATCTGATCCTCTGCATCCTCATTATAAAAAAAATCCATTTCATCGGAAAACATGGACCTGATCATCCATTAGCAATGAACCCCTTTAAACTTTGGGTTATGTTGCCCGCCAGGAGTAAATAAAGCCTTCATAGTGAAATGAATCAGAGAAGTGACCGAGAAGCAGATTATGGGAAAGTGGCCTTCTATATAAGGAACAATAACAGAAAGGTTATAGGTAACACTCTAACACAAGAGACAGTACCAATTATTCTGAATATAAATTAATATTTAGCATTGTAAGGACACAGTAGCACCCTCAAAGTCTTTAAAGATAGTATATAATCTGTTTTTTGCTAACACACCTGCCATAGCTGTAGGTGGTTTTTGAGTTGTCTGTTTGTACCTTTTGCAATATATTAATTTCCCTGCCAGGATTTATTTCTAATTTGACTAAAATATCGACATGGACTCAAGGATGACGTGATTTTGTCGGTTGAAGTTCGAGGTCAATGTGACCTCACCAAGGCGTTTTGTCCATAACTCAAGAACTCATACGCTAATAATGACTTATTGATTTTAAATCAAATGTCCAATTGGATGAACATGTTTCAAGCATGTTCCTTACTTCTTTAACTCTTCATTCATCAACATTTTATTTTAGTATGAGTTTGAATATTTCATCCTGACACATCTTGATGTTTAAAAAATGCATAACAATGTTTTCATTTAATCTGGTGACTATATTTACTACATTATGAGTGAGAGGTAAGTCTTTTTTTACAGATCTCTCATCCAATCATCGTCAACTTCATTTCATTTGTCATTTATAAAAACAACTTTTTATGCATGTACATCTTAAATGATTTCGAATATGCTGTAACACTGTGATTATGGAACTAATACTTGTAGCAGTACACAGACCTGGACCAAATAGTCTGACTAAATATGTAAACCCGTAAACTCTAATCTGAGTAACCCTATTTGTATCTCAAATTATGATTCTGTATTTCTTTGTTTGTTTTTTAAATACATGAATGATTTAAAAAGTCAAATTTGACTCAGGTCTGGCATTATGTACTCACTCACTGTTTATGCAGAAACCTTAGAAAATGCTATATATTTTTAGTGACTGTCAGTCTCATTCTTTGAGAACTAAAACAAACTCTTATTAAGGAAAACAACAATTTCCTTTGATTAATGTCAAACTTTGAGAAGTGTCACACCGCAATTTCTATTTACACATGCATTAAGTCGGTTTTCCAGGGTTTGGAAACTTTGTAAAACATGAAAGAAATGTCCTTTGACATACCTTCAAGTGGAAAAGTAAAAATTGGAGAGGATCTTAAACATATGACTTCATTGTACTGTATAGTGAAGGCCACAAGAGCTGTTGGTTTACTGTCAGCTGATAAGATACATTGTTTTAATATGAAACCAAGCCAAGACAAAAATGCATGTGTTTCAATAGAAAAATCTAGTACAATGCGAATTTAATGGGCAACATGTACCTTCAGGACACCATTTACTTTGACCTTTTTGCTAACTTGACACCTTATCATCTCACGTTGATTTCCTGTGTATGTGTGTGTGAAACCACAGCGAGCATGCCCAGTGAGACAGAGTCGGCGAACACGGAGAATCACAACGGAGAGGATAAAAAATCCCCCTGCTGTGGGCCGCTGTGGTGAGTGTGACATATTGAGGCAATAAAAGAGTATTGTACAGGAAATAGACCCAGAGGCTGTTGTACATTAATATGTGTGTTTAAACACAAATGCACATTTTGTTGACCTTAATTTAAATCTGCGTAATTTCTATTCCCCCCAGTCAAAAAATATCTAAGTCAAAGTTCAGGTTAGTACCCTGGTACTGTATGAGAGTGCATGGCATATGCATTCTTCATTCAATCAATTCAACTCATCCTGCATGGGTCATTCTTACCTCGTGTTTTAATTGTTCCAATCCTCAATGTTTTGATCTAATATTTTGCGATTCATGTCATATATCTAACCCATCATTGTAATTTCTGATCTCACTACAGTTTCCTTTTGTTTTCCCCCTTTACTTAACTTCAATCCATCCAAGACCTTTACGTAAACAGCTTTTTTCCTCTTTTACTAATTGTAAAACTGTGCTTCCATGTTATTTCACCACATCTAACTGTATATGTAAGAAACATGTAATTATCAAATATATATGCACATGTTAAGTCCAAAGCCAGAAGAGTTGATTCCAAAATATGTGAAATTCAAGGAAATTCTTATAAGACTTATTGGTCTTATTTCTAAACCTAACTCTTCTGAAAATGGCCCCAAGTATTCTGACCATTAATTCTAAAGTTGAAATATCTTTCTGTCAGTCGTCAGTGGAGGCGGTGGAACCGTTTCTGCCGCAGAAAGAGTCGAACAGCCGTGAAATCTGTGACGTTTTATTGGCTGGTGATCCTCTTGGTGTTCCTCAACACTCTCACCATTGCCTCTGAGCACTACAACCAGCCAGACTGGCTGACGGAAGTACAGGGTATCTTCATTTTGATATTTTCTGTTCTTTTTGGTTGTAGAACATGTATTCAGGTCAGTTATTTAAAAAACTTGGCTGAACTACAAGATGTCTGATAATTGTATCCCCTTCTCCTTAGATGTAGCCAACAAAGTTCTCCTGGCGATGTTCACGTTGGAGATGCTGGTGAAGATGTACAGTTTGGGCCTGCAGGCATACTTTGTGTCCCTATTTAACCGCTTTGACTGTTTCGTGGTGTGCGGAGGCATCGTAGAGACCATCCTGGTGGAGCTGGCCGTCATGTCTCCGCTGGGCATCTCTGTATTCCGTTGCGTACGACTTCTAAGGATCTTTAAAGTCACACGGTAAGCAGAACTTATCGGTCTTTCCTCTGATATCAACAGGGATACTCACTTGTAAAGGTTGCAAATTGGACCAGGATTGACTTCCACACTTGTTGTGATGTCAAAAGTCTTGCTTGTAGTCTCACCCCTCAAAAACAGATTTCAAATGAGCACAGAGAAACTTTGCACATTCAGCTGATTCGTTTCAGTTTGTGTGTGTGTCTGTCCTTCGTTAACTCATATATTTCTTCTTCTCCAGTCATTGGGCGTCTCTCAGTAACCTGGTGGCGTCTCTGCTAAACTCCATGAAGTCCATCGCCTCCCTGTTGCTGCTGCTCTTTCTCTTCATCATTATTTTCTCCCTGCTCGGCATGCAGCTATTTGGGGGAAGGTTCAATTTTGACGAGACTGTGACCAAAAGGAGCACGTTTGATAACTTCCCCCAGGCCCTGCTCACTGTGTTCCAGGTGAGTGTTCGACTTTACTCCGTTTAATTGGCAAATTGTAACATCCGCTCACAGCGCCTGAGGTTTCTCTCCCTCGGCACGCTTTCTCAGTCTCAATCCTTAGTCTCTTAGTCGTTCTCCATGTGAGTTCCTTTTTGCATCATGGTGGACAGTTTCTTCACTGGGTATTAGAATAGATGATTGAAATGGTTTTAACTGCATATCATGTTTGCCAGATCTTGACAGGAGAAGACTGGAATACAGTGATGTATGACGGCATCATGGCGTACGGTGGTCACGCCTCTTCTGGAATGGTGGTCTGCATTTACTTCATCATTCTCTTCATCTGCGGAAACTGTATCCGACAAACGTTAACACTTGTTTGGTAGTTGATTGTTCCATGTTCCTTAATCCCAGATGTGTTTTAAATTGTTGGTCAGTGTTTCCTCTTTAAGTCACATTTCCAGACATCCTGCTGAACGTTTTCTTGGCTATCGCTGTTGACAACCTGGCAGACGCAGAGAGCCTCAATACAGCACAGAAGGAGGAAGAGGAGGCCAAGAAGAGGAAGAATAGCATCAAGTACAGTGAAATATTTCATGTTTTATTGTTTGTGTAGATCTTTGTCACATTTGTTACAAGAACTTTCTATTGGCAGAGAAAACGGCCTTCCGCCCTGGTTAGTCACTCTGTTTTATCTGTCTCTCACAGAGAAGCAAGCATAGACAAGAAGAGAGTTGCTATAATAGACATCAAGGATGGAGATACCAAGGTAAATTCTACTCCAATTGTTTTTTGAACAAGTTTTTATCTCAGTCATTTTTTATTTATTTAATGCTTAATCTGACTGCAGGTGCCAGCAGAGGCGTTGCTGGAGGAGGACAAGGAGACGTATCCTGCCATCAACACTCCAGGTATAATTAACATGTCTTTAGTAAAACTGGGATCCAAAATGAATCCATCCAAGTTTATTGTGTTTATTTGTAGCTTAGTGATTAAATATGATTTGCAAGATTCAGCAAGATACTTCACATATTGGCAGACGATGAATAGCAAATGTTTTAATAAATCAAAGAATTTCAATCGAAACTGAGAAAAAGCAACAAAAATGAACTGACAGTGAAAATATTGATCAAAAAGACACATTACATTAAAACTGCACATTTATCTGAATTGTATCAGCCTTCTAAAAACAGCTGACCGGGGAGTAAAGAGTTTAAAGCGGTAAATGTTAGAATGGCATACACATGTGGTTTCTTCCAGTTGCCATGATCATCCGCGGTGAAAGTACATATATAACTGAAGGATTGTTTTCATGTTAAGGGGGATTAAAATAAGTTTTGTTTCCCAGCAGGTGGCGATGAAGAAGATAATGAAAACCTTCCAGAAGTCCCGTTGGGGCCCCGCCCCCTGAGGCTGTCTGAACTCACCATCAAAGAAAAGACTCTGCCCATCCCAACGGGAAGCGCTTTCTTCATCTTCAGCAGCACTAACCCGTGAGTCTCACACGCCGATTGGTGATATTTATAACAGAAACTACTCTGATGTATTCTAAAGCAGAGGCAGGAAGCTCAAATGTAAGATGTGTCACTAAACCAACCTTGTTGTTACCCTCACTTTCTGCTGTAGGTTTCGGGTTTTCTGCCATAAACTGATCAACCATCACATCTTCACCAATCTCATCCTGGTCTTCATCATGCTCAGCTCCGTCTCTCTGGCTGCTGAGGACCCCATTCGCAACTGCTCTGCTCGCAATATCGTACGTAGAAAACCACCTGGACTTTGGTTAATAACTGTCCCATAAGGCTATCCCACATCTTTTAAACAATGTAACGGTAGTTGATAATCAACCTTTATCCCAGCAGATATTTTGACACGAGACAGTAGAAAAAGCAAAGATGTAAGCAAAACAATCATGATTTCTGAGTTCCCTTTTGTTGCTTCAATTTCAAGGTCCATGGTTGCCATGAAAAGTATTTTTTGGTCAGGAAGTTTTCTAAGTGGCAGCCTTGATAAGAGTTGGTTGAGATTATCTAGAGGCCAAGGAAAGGTGCTGCAATGCTTCCTTTCTAATGTCCTTCAGCGTAGGCTACACTGGACCATCGTAGAAAGGAAATGGGATAATGCCAAACCACAATTCTTTGCAGCAGCATCATTTAAAATGAATGCAGCCCAACGTCAATAACACCCACCATCATATAATTACGTAGCCAAGCAAAGTGCAGCCATTATGTATAAACACCAGGGTTGTCCTGTTCCTTGTCATTATTAGGGTTTCTTTTTTACCATTGCCATACTATGTCATACTATCATGGCTTTTTGACCGATAAAAGTACTTTATCTTATAAAGACACCATCATTGAAAATGTAAAAATGTCTGCTGTGAAAAAGGCCGATGGAAAGCATGATTTTTCTAATTACACTCAATTAACATTGACATTTTACCACCTGCCTCAGTAGATACACAATAGCAACCCACAATTATGTAGTTAGAGATTTTTTCCAGTGCATGTTACGTAGGGCAGTTGTCCTGTTTGGATTTTTTTCTAAAAAAGCCACAACAAATTATTTTCTCCTCTACTAACCAATATAGATCACTGCAACACAATACTGTATCAGAATCTTGCCTTGTCCATCTGTGTTAAATGATATAAATACTGAATGTTATTGTGCTGTCTTGGAATGACTTGATGACTTGAACTTGTGCATTGCCTCTTGCAGATACTTGGTTATTTTGACTATGCTTTCACCGCAATCTTTACTGTTGAGATCCTGTTGAAGGTAAATGAGACTTGTGCTGTGTTGTGCTGTGCTGAGTAGAGCTTCAGTAACCCTGCGTGCTTATGTCACTCTGATTGCCTCCTCAGATCCTAGGCTATGCAGACTATGTCTTCACTAGTATGTTTACATTTGAGATCCTTATTAAGGTAAACAATAACAAATAGTTGCGCTGACTCAGCAACAACCCACCACTTCCAAGCTTGCCGCATACGTCCTCCCTCCCTTCATTTTTGTCTCTATAATTTTTGTGCAAAATGGCCTCCTGCTTGTCTTGTTGTCATGGCGCCAATAGGTTAAAGTGGAGATCATACGTTTTGTCAGATATTACTTTGTCTGTCAGTCACTGTCAATCACGGCCCACTTTCCCTCTTCATCATCGACCAGTTTATGGACCAGTGGCTCTCCAGAGTACAACTATTTGTTTGGCTCAAATATAACAGTTTTTTCAAACTTTTTGAAGATTAATAATCATGTTTATACAATCTTTTGGAAAAACAAACATGTTTTTGATTTTTAATTAGAATTGAATTGGAAATATTCTGCACTGTGGAGAGATGAACTCGAACTTGAACTAACATCAAGCTTTATATCCAACTGCCTGATTGCATACTGTATACACACATCTGATCGTTTTTCCATGTATCTTATTAATTAATGCACCACCAAATAATGTCCAAATAAAGACTTCCTCAAAAATCAGGAACAATTTTCATTAAGTTTGCTGTTAGATTTAAAATCCCCTGCCCCTTTTTTCGCTGCATGCCTGCACCAGGTAAATCTCAAGTATTATGGCTTGAGCCTAAAGTTCAATCAGGAAAGGATTGAAGGCTTAATCTGCACCGGAAATGAGTGCAGTGGCTTTTAAATTATGTTCCTCGTGCACTGTCTGAACATTATGTGTTGTATATTGTCTTTCTATTTGTGTGTGTGTGTGTATGTGTGTGCACTACAAAAGCACGCATCTGATTTTAGTATTTGGAAATGTGAATCCAAGCTTGCCATCTATTTATCAATAAACACTTAAATGTATTTTATTTAAATTGTAAAATAATGAACCAAAAATATAATATACTGCTCGAACCTATAAGGACCTACACAATATTAGAGGTACTAATCTGTGTATGTGTGTGCTTGCCCTAATTACATAACATGGATTAACAGCTCAATGTAAATGCAGGATCATGAGCTGCTAATCAAATTATATTGCTTATTGTTGTCATAAACTAATGTTTGAAATGCAAAATCAAGGGAATATTCAACAAGAAAAAAAAAAGAATTCAGTAAAGCCCCTTTTAGTCACTCACAAAATGTTCTTTTGAAAATGCACACTGTAATTAGTTTTTACATAACAGGTCCTTGATCTAGTAATAACAGTCATTCAAATCCCATTTCAGCCTGACTTGAAGCCACCCCTTGTACACTTTGGTGTGTGTGTGTTGTCCTCTTTAATCCTGACTGTTGTTACTTCCTTGTCCAGATGACAGCGTTCGGAGCTTTTCTTCACAAAGGGGCGTTCTGTAGAAACTACTTCAACCTTTTAGACCTGCTGGTCGTTGGCGTGTCTCTGGTATCCTTCGGCATTCAGTATGTATCTTTAAATTATATTTTAAATGTTGAAATGTCATTGAGCAAATGTGTGGTATTTTTTGCCATGACATGTATATGTTGCTGTTTGTTCCGCTTGTAGCAGAGCAGAAAGGAATGTCAACATTGCCTAAAATCACTAAGCTGAATCCCCTGGTGTTTTTTTCTGTCTCATTTAGGTCCTCTGCTATCTCAGTTGTGAAGATTCTCCGTGTTTTGAGAGTCCTTCGTCCACTCAGGGCCATCAACAGAGCCAAGGGACTAAAGGTCAGAATGAAAATAACAACACACTACACTCTGTGTTAGGGATGTCACGAGAACCCACACTTTCGTACCAAGTAGATGCCAATATTTTGAAAACATGATGGTACCCGTTTTTTTACGGAACCATGGGAACTGTAGTACCTGGAAGTACAGACACATTCCAAGCCCAATGGAACGATAATTGGACAATAGAAAATGTGTTTGGGGGCAGGGAACTCACTATAAATGCATATAGGGTATGCATCTTTTTCCCCCTGATAATTTTACATTGGGAACAACAAATTTGTATTAAAATGGGAATATTAGATCTAGTGAACTTCAGCTTGTAGCAGCTGGTGAACGGAGAGTAACATTGTGGTGCATTAAGGCAGTGTTTACACGAGAACGAAACGGGTTGTATCTGCTACTTTTCTCGCGCGTATAGCCCGTTCGTTCACACGAGGCCGTAACGGAGCCGCGGAAACGGACCCCGCAAACGATAACGGATCCCAAGGTGGATAGATCTGCAACCAGAACGCTCTGGGCCAAACGGCTCAGTGTGTACGCCCTCAGTGGTTCCCAACCTGGGGGGCGCGCCCCCCTTGGGGGGGCGCCAAAGATCGCAGGGGGGGCGCCAGGCCTCAGATGATTTGAGGCAAAATATCATATTTAGACTTTTATTTTTTTTAATCTTTTTTTTTTACATATAATTGTAACGCAATACATGATTGTCACTAAAAGCCTTGTCTCTACCTTACAATAACATATACAAAATAATTGATTAATTAATTTGAATAAAAATTCAAGTTAGTAGCTATTATAGGCATAACAAGACAGAAATGTATAATTCTTTCTTTAATAGAAATGTTTCTTCTGCCCGTAAAGTGTCCAAACCAGGCTTTCCTGGATAAGCGCATTTTTAAAACATAGTCATTGTCCATGCCGGTTTCAAATTATTTGTCACAGTTGCTCCGATCAGATCGGTCTCCTCCATTTTGTAGATTATATACGACTTTTGTATCCACATAAACACATCGGCAAAATCCGGAAAAATAGCACTTTTCAGCACATGGCAATACAGCGGGAATCCAAATGAATTAATCCTGAGTCCAATAACCATCAAAGTCACTCCAATAGTGCTCCTTGATTACGCTTTCATCCTCCTTTAACAAAATACTTCACATTCATCCAGTTTGTGACAGTAGTTGTAGCATTTTTGAGACTTTTAAACTTTAATTACCGCTGTTGTCATGATGTGTTTACCGAAGTCTTGTAAAATCGAGGTGTGGAGGTGTTTTAAACAGCAATATGAACTAGAGAATGCAATTCCTGAAGAAATTGCTAGTGGGAATGCTTTATGCAGAAAATCTGACGCTAAACTGCTATGCTGAAAAGTAATGTGTAAGAAGAAAGTGAAGAATTTAGATTGAAATGATACATGAACACTGGGGGCTTGAATGTGTGATGAGTGAAGAAAAGAAAGTAAAAAGGCTTGGAAAAGCAGCAGAATATTTGAACTGCAAACTTTTGAACTAACTTGATGGTGAATGATCTGTCGCCATGCCAACGGCATTTGATGACATCCCATAATACGCTTAGATGCGTTGATGGCTGCATCGTTACCAAACCTGTGAAGTCTTGGGCCATTTGGAGCATTTTCACTGAAGTTATGAGAAAACCGTGTTTCATGGCGGGCATTGTGTTGCCATGGCAACGGCATGTCCCGTAGATGTCTTCACGGCTGGACTGTTAGCACACATGTGAAGTTTGAGCACTTTTTGAAAATGTTCATAGGAGTTATAGCGACATCGTCGTTTATGGCGAGTGATGCATTTCCATGGAAACGGCATATGGTGAGATCTCAGATTTGGCGTAGAGCTGTTGAGGCATGGACCGGTGATATACAAGTGAAGATTGGGGGACGATTGGACTGTGTCCATTGGACTTACAGCGACATCGTGTTTCATGGCGAGTGATCTGTCGCCATGGCAACGGCATTTGATGACACCCCATAATACGCTTAGATGTGTGGATGGCTGCATCGTTACCAAACGTGTGAAGTTTTGGGCCGTTTGGAGCATTTTCACTGAAGTTATGAGAGAACCGTGTTTCATGGCGAGCCTTGTGTTACCATGGCAATGGCATTTGAAGAAATCTCAAAACTCTCCCGTAGACGTCGTCACAGCTGGACTGTTAGCACACATGTAAAGTTTGAGCACTTTTTGAACATTTTCATAGGAGTTAATGTAAAGCGACATCGTCTTTAATGGCGAGGGATGCGTTTCCATGGAAACGGCATATGATGACACCCCATAATTGACGTAAAGCTGTTGAGGGCAGGACCACCATTATCTGAAGTCTGCTGCTCTGAGCATGTCAGTTGGAGTTATGACATCATCGTGTTCCATGACACAGGTGTTTATATTTGAGCTAACGAGGTGTCTAGAGATCAAAGGTTTCCATTGTTCTGAATGAGAGATAAACCTCTTACATGTGAACGTTTTGTCGAAGAACCGTAACAGATATCTGTGAAATTTTAAAACGTGAAGCATGTCAAGGAAGTTGAGTATCTGAAGTGTAATTTTTGTGTACTTTCGGGTTAATAATGTGGCCTTTTTGGCAGTTTAACTAAAGGTGTGCGGCTGCTGCTGTGAGGAAATATCAGCCTGAAATCACAATGGGCTTTAATGGAGACATGTTGAAAGTTTTTGTCATTTCATGCCCTCAAGAGGCATTTTGTTTAATGTTTTTGCTTAATTATTTTTCATTTTTCAAGCTACGAGTTGATGTTTTCCTACGTTTGTCATGAAAAATTATGTCTCAGAAGTGTAGGGTTTGGGAATTATGGCAGTTTTAAAAAAAATATGAAGGCGAATTTCAAACTGTCCTCCACTCTAACTCTGACATCACACACTCTGCCTTAACGAGCTGTGCAATGTTAAAGCTGAAGAAGGCCTCTTTACCAAGGTCTGAACAATGTTTAATATTTATAAAAGTATGAATCTGATTTAAAAGTTGTTTAATATGAATAATGTCAGAAAGATGTGTAACATTTTAAAGTTGGAATGAGGTTTCTGAGTGAAAGTATGAAGGAACAGTTAGCAGTTGAAGTCGCATGAAGATCGTTCAAGTGTGAAGATTTTCTCCATTGACTTCAATGGTTAAAAATGTGATGAATTATGGGATGTATCTCTGGAATTATGAAAGTTATGAATGATAAAAGCCATCGATTCCCGACCGAGCTGAACGTTTTGATGTTTGAACGGAGTTTCTGCGATGTTCAATGCGGGAGGAGAAGGCCGGCAAAATAACGGGCGGAATCAAGATTTTGAATAACAGATATTAGAGCGATAATTGTGAGCTATTTCTGTTTGTATGCGAACATTAATGGAGTGTATGTTGAAGTGCATGGGATGTATTTTTTGTTTGATTTTAACGTGGTAATGAATTCGTATCAGGAATCCTGGAATGTCACTGGTACTAGATTACTACTACTACTAGTATTACGCAATCAACAACTACATTTCTGGTATTGTGACAACCCCAGTGTGTGTATCTGTATGTGTGTGTGCATCTTAGCTGATGATGCAGTGCTTTGTATTCCTACTAACAGTGTAGAACTGTGTGTCCTTTGCAGCACGTGGTCCAGTGTGTGTTTGTGGCCATCAGGACCATCGGCAACATCATGATCGTCACCACGCTGCTGCAATTCATGTTCGCCTGTATCGGAGTGCAGCTCTTTAAGGTAGAGTCAAACGATGGAAAGAGAGATCGAGGTTAACAACGGAATCCACAGACACCGACTTTCTCTGTTGTTCTTTTTCCCAGGGTAAATTTTATCGTTGCGCCGATGATGCAAAGTCCAGCCCAGAAGAATGCAAGTGAGTTGTTGTTTTTTTCTAAATGGTTTCCAACTTTGGTCATTCGCCTACATGACTGTGTCTACGTCAGTGCGTACTTGTGGTTGCTTTAATATTACATTTTTGACAGAGGCAACTACATTCTCTACAACAACGGGGACACAGCGCTGCCCATGGTGAAGGAGAGGATCTGGTACAACAGCGACTTCAACTTTGATAATGTCCTCATGGCCATGATGGCTCTTTTCACCGTCTCCACTTTCGAAGGATGGCCCACGTAAGTAGTTCTGTCGTTGTGAAGTAGGTTTGATTATGAATAAGAAAACTAATGGCAAGATAACTATAATGTTACTATTTATAATCCTTCACCTTTATGTCTGCCTGAATGAACCCACAATATTCATAAAAACCCAAATAAAAAATGTAAGCAATACAGCCAAGTCGATATTGTCTTTAATTTCCCTATTTTGTGAGTATGAATGTGCTTGAAGTATATTATATAGTATCTTTAAGAGAACAGCTTTTTTCCATGGATAAGGAGTGTCCATTGTCTTTTGTGTCCCTGCAGTCTGCTCTACAAGGCCATCGACTCTCACAAGGAGAACATGGGTCCGATCTACAACTACCGCATCGAGATCTCCATCTTTTTCATCATCTACATCATCATCATCGCCTTCTTCATGATGAACATCTTTGTCGGTTTCGTCATTGTTACCTTTCAGGAGCAAGGGGAGAAGGAGTACAAGAACTGTGAGCTCGATAAGAACCAGGTAAGAGGAAGCTATCACTCTTTGTAATGGTGCCTTCATTAAACCTTTTAAATGTAGTAGGAAAAAGATGATCTCAACTAAATGGATCTGGCTAAATAATAGTGCTTCTTTTCATCATTTAAATGTTTCTTCTTTAAAAGATGGAGAATATTATAAATGGTACATTTCTGCTTTACTTCCACTTGACCATGAGTCTGTTTGTTTCTTTCTCTGTCACCACCGCAGCGTCAGTGCGTGGAATATGCTCTTAAAGCTCGTCCTCTGCGCCGCTACATACCCAAAAACCCTTACCAGTACAAGTTCTGGTATGTGGTCAACTCTACTGGCTTTGAGTACGTCATGTTTGTCCTAATCATCCTCAACACCTTGTGTCTGGCCATTCAGGTAACTAATATTACGTTTTAATACTTAAAATACCTAAGTGTCAACTGTGTAAATGTGTTAATGATTTTTTTGTAGCAATAGATATCATAACCTTTTTTCCCAAGAGTGATTGCAGACCGTTTCCACAGTGTTTGTCAATTTAAATATCATGATACTCTTGAAATGCACTACCTGTATTATTAGTAAATATTTTGTTATATTTTTGATCAGTTTGTGTGCCTGTCTTTTTCCAGCACCATGGTCAGTCTCATCTGTTTAACTATGCCATGGACATCCTCAACATGGTCTTCACAGGGGTTTTCACTGTGGAGATGATCCTCAAACTCATCGCCTTTAAACCCAGAGTAAGTCTACTTTCCTCTCATCTCTTCTCTTCTATCCAATTATGTGCCAAACTTCCATTAGTTTCTTAAAACATCTTATTTAGAGTTTTTTCTTAAGAGCTCCCTTTATTTTGAAGCTGTAAAAAGGTTCAAGTTAGAGGTTTTATCTGAAAGCCCTGCCCTTTACTTTTAACCCCGCCCTCAAACTCTTCCTGTCCTGGGCTCTGAGCCAAGCTCGAGCCTGTGACTCCTCCTCCATATTACTCCTTATTGTCCCCTTCCATTTACTCCTCACCCTAACCTCTTAACCTCCTATATTTCCCACATCCCCCTCCTCTCCGGCCTTCCCCTCTCCCCCTGCTGGCTGTGCATGCTGCCATAATCAGGGCTATGTTGGGGACGCCTGGAACGTCTTTGATGCTCTGGTCGTGATTGGAAGTGTAGTCGACATCATACTGAGCCAGGTAGAGAGACAATAGCATGACCAACTGTCATTCCCTCTTACTGCTTTAACCATTACAGCCGCCATGCTCCGTTTTCTCCGCCCTGCACATCTTTCCTCCTTTCCTTCCTTCCTTCCTTCCTTCCTGTCTTAATGTTCTTATCTTTTTGGGTTGGCTTGAACCCATTTCTGCTCATGATTCAACTCATGAATCTGTTGTCTTTGCCTTCCTTGAGGTTGATGAGCACCATAGACCGATTACATTCGTATTAGCTTGGAACCTTTCTATCAGCTATCTGTGCATTAAATGCCAAAACATTCATTATATTAAAGCCACTATTCCATATGAATTATATTGTGTTAAATTGTATTGTTTTAAGTATATGGTAGCCCTTTTTGTCAGCCTGACACTGCATCAGTTGGAATAAATCACTTTGAAATTAAAGATTCATGATGTTGGTTCATTTATAAAACAGAGCGGCAAAGCTTTGAAAACACTATTTCTTGAAATGAAACAAGTTAATACTCTCAAAGAATCAGTGGCTGGAAAGATTTGACTTTCAACCTCACTTTTTAAAATCTAATCACAACTTTTTTATGTTCTTCTCTTTCTATCCTCTTCTTTGGCCTTTTCTTTCATGCTCTGTTGTCTCTCTCTTCTTTTCTGTGTGTCTTTGTTGCTCGTGCTTGCAGAACTATTTTGCTGATGCATGGAACACGTTTGATGCCTTAATTGTTGTGGGTAGCGTGGTTGACATTGCCATCACTGAGATCAATGTAAGTAATCACTTATAACTCATTCACCCCCTTCTTGAATGAGGTCCTTTAGCTGAGGGCTCCTACGCTCCCAGCTAGAGGACCTTTCTCAAGCATTAGAGTTGCATTCAAATGACAACGTTCTTGTTTTATGCCTAATCTGTTCATAACCATCCAACATCCGTCATATATGACCACATTTGAATGATAAAGTTGTGATTACTAACGCTGTTGAAGTATAACCCCATCATTTTGTTTATTATGAGAACAATTATGCTCCTTTCAACATTAAATACATTTTTTTAATTGTCTTACTTGAATTTGGAACTGTTGTCTTTGAATGCAGCTCAAAATATACATAAATTATTATTATAAATTCTGCGAGACTGCTACATCAAAGCCACTCTGACTGTATTCTTGTTTTCAGCTGCTGTTAACACTGACTTAATGCTTGCTGCAGTTTTATTTTCTGAATGAATATGTTTGTTTTTCCAGTTTGTCTTTCACTTTGAATGAAGGAAAACCAGGACTTAAATACATATATAAGTGCAAGTGAAGAGATGGGTTGAACAGCTAAGGTGGGGGGAATAATGTGGTTGGGAATGAGAACAGTTGCAGGTGTGTAACCGTGATGCCATGGGGCACAAAAGTACTATTCCCTTCTGACTTTCATTGAGAAAGATGCCTGTAAATAAACCTCTCAGAACGAAGATTTCAATAGCCCTCATTTAAATCAGTAGGTAATTAAAGTCTTAAATGCACAAATAGCAGAACAAGTGTCCGCCTCCAACTCTGTATCCATTTCCTTTGATAAACTGCAAAGGACGTAACAGGCAGCTCAGGAACACTAGAAGGACAAAGTCTACAACTAAGTCCGATCCTAACAAGAAGTCTAGGGGGCATCGGAGCCAGACATGTTGACAGTAGTAATGTGAAAACAGGACAAATAATTTCAGCATATTCCCTTAATGTGCTTTTGTCCTTATTTTTCTATTTCAACAGCTACTGTAATCACTAAGGCAGTATAGAGTACCAGGGTTTTGTCTAAACCAGGTAGCAGGAGCGCTGCGCCGTCTTACTTTCGGCGTGCACCCTCATACCAAAATGCAGATTTTCCTTGTTAAATTTGAAAGTGATGCGAGAAAACAATATTTCTGTTTGTCATAAACTGTATTATTACTCAAGAAATATGAAAATCGTGTCAAATACACCGTCAGACGGCATAGACAGCTTTGTTCAGTTGGTCTGCCGGTGGACGAGTGGCAGGCAGAAGCTTACACTTAAACTGTGATTTGTGAATCAGACGTTTCTTTTACTGTCCTTTTTTCTGTAGAGGAAGTAAAGAAACTGTAACACTGGATTTATTTGTTGTTTGAGGTGCAATATATGACTCAGCAGCTTTAAGACAAGAAGAAACTATTATTTTCTGATTCGCTAGTGCATTATCTTTGCCGGAAAGTGGGCGGGGCCGTCATTTTGTCCGGAAGTGACGTTAGCGCCCTTATACTATATTTTTCTAAAGAAACCTCAGGAGAACACATTTTCCTCTAACACTGAATGCTTGCATTGTTGCATGTGTGGCGTCACTGCTGAGGATATGTTGTAAAGCTTTTGCATGAAAGGCTTTACGATGATGATGTTATGTTTGTGGCTTAAGTTGTAATGCTTTGTCGTTTATTAGGTGAAGGTGTAATATGTTGATTATTCGAAGGTATTGATGATATGTGTTTGATGCAGCATTGACTGGTGAATGATTCAGTGCTGTGAAGCTGGTTTGTGTAACTCAGATTAACTTTAGGCTTTTGGTTTCAAGTCGACAGCCATTCCAGTCGTCAAGGTGATAGTGGAGCCCGGGGTAAGGAAACGATGAAAGCCCCTCGCCATTCTGTGATCACCAAGAATCAAGATATTATTTGTGTCACTCTGTCGCTCACTTGCTTATGAAAAACATTGAGATGCTTTATGGTGTCACTTATAGTTGTGTCATGGTTTGTGATTGAACTCTCAATGTTTGTTTGTTTCATTTTGGCTCCAGTTTCATGGTGTAACTTTTTTTGTTGAGACCACATCCTGTTTAGGCGCATGGCATGATGCGGACATACAGAAAATACTGTTTGGTCTTTTTGTCTCATGTTTTCATTTCCACGTAGCTTGCCCAGGTGTTTGTTATCAGATTACCAACATGTTGTCAATAGGCTACTTTGAGTTTCTTGTCATTGGTCAATTGTAAGAACCCGATTACAGTTTGTCTTTTGTTTTTTAACTTTGGAATGCAGATGTTCTGTCTGTTGCCTGTTTTGGTATCAGTTATACAGAATGAAATGTGTCGTATGTCCTACAGGTCTGTTGCTCACATCATTGTGATCGAACACTGTTACTCTGCATGTGCATTGATTGTTGTCATTGCGAAGATGCCAAAGATCACAAATGGAAAGATTTCTTCATAACCATTTTACACCACGTTTATGCTAGTATGACTCAAACATGATGAATGAAAGGATGCCTGTATGTCTGACTGCATGAATGAGTGAGTGATACAGAGCTTTATCATTCTGTCTGCGTTTTGATGTTTGCTCTATTTTCATCCCCTAATCACTCCCAACCTCCTCCCGTTCAGAACACAGAGGACAGCGCTCGTATCTCCATCACCTTCTTCCGCCTGTTCAGAGTGATGCGATTGGTCAAACTTCTGAGCAGGGGGGAGGGCATCAGGACTCTGCTGTGGACCTTCATCAAGTCCTTCCAGGTGAGGAGGCAACATATGCAGCCTATAAACATCCCTCTTTAATCTTTAAAATGATGAATTCATCATATCAGAGATAACTCTTGCTGTCATTGGTCTTTTTATGTCTAACTCTTTTTTGTTGCCCGCTCAGGCTCTCCCCTATGTTGCACTCCTGATAGCCATGCTGTTCTTCATCTATGCTGTAATTGGGATGCAGGTAATATGATCTAAAGCCTGTTTGTAACCATGCAGGATGTGCGTGCCCTGAGTGACTGTTTCCTTGTTTTTAATTGACCACCCTTTTATTATGCCTATGCGATATTGTTTTGGTTTGTCCGTGCATCAGTTCAACATCCAATTCTCGTGAAGGCCATGAAAGATTTGATTCTAATATTTTTAGACTCAAAAAAACACATTTGGGTGGTCAAAGGTCATGGTCACTGTAAACCTTTAATATTATGTATTCACTATTCATCACATTTTTGAGATTGACAATGTAATGACATTTTGGAAAGACATGGATGAAGACTGCAGCTTGACTGGTTACTGGAGGCATTAGGACTGAAGTCGGAAGATTCCTGTGTTATTGTAAGACTAGAGCAGACTGATGTTTCTTTTTTTAGGTGTTTGGAAAAATAGCCATGGTGGATGGGACACAAATCAACCGCAACAACAACTTTCAAACTTTTCCTCAAGCTGTCCTGATGCTCTTCAGGTGTGTAGCAATAAGCCATTATAAGTAACTGCATGAATAAATAAATACATGTGGGTAAAACCCCTCATTGTGCTTGTGTGTTGATGCTGTTCTTGTTCTGTTAGGTGTGCCACAGGAGAGGCCTGGCAGGAGATCATGCTGGCCTGTCTGCCGGGGAAACTGTGTGATCCAGAGTCGGAATACAACCCCGGAGAGGAGAGAACCTGCGGCAGCGGCTTCGCCATCATCTACTTCATCAGCTTCTACATGCTCTGTGCTTTCCTGGTAATCTTCAGACATTTCATTTTGTGCAGTAGAAGTCATGTTTGAGCAGGCACATTCCTGTATGAAATAAAATACCACAAGAAATGCGAAATATTGTTGCCTGTCCTGGTTTCAGATCATCAACCTGTTTGTTGCTGTCATCATGGATAACTTTGACTATCTGACCCGCGATTGGTCCATTCTGGGACCGCATCACCTGGATGAGTTCAAAAGGATCTGGTCTGAATACGACCCTGAAGCAAAGTGAGTATCAGGACGCAGTTTGAGAGAACTATGGCTGCAATAACATCATTTTTCACTATCAACTATTTATTCATTTCTAACCAAAATTACTAATAATTGTATATATTAAAATGTCAGAAAATATTGAAAGAAATCTCCATTGCAGTTTCTGAGTACGATGATAAAGTATCTCTAAATGTCCTGTTTTGTCTGCCTAAAACTCGAATATATTCAGTTCAAAATGATATAAAACAGGGAAATCTTCATATAAGGAGAACGAAAAGGACATTTTATACGAAAAATGTAGTTTCCGATCAATCGATTAATCAAAAAAGCGGATAATGTTTCTTTCAAATGACCAATTGATAAGTCAAATAATCGTTGCAGTTCTACTATCAACAACATCTTTCCACTTACTAATCCTACAAAAAAGTACACCACTATTGAGGATTTGATACAGCACACATGGGATGATGATTGTTTGTCTCAGTTGTGTTGTGCCTAATAGTATTATGTATCTTGTTGCCAGGGGCAGGATTAAGCACCTTGACGTGGTGACTCTGCTCAGGAGGATCCAGCCTCCGCTGGGCTTTGGCAAGCTCTGTCCTCACAGAGTGGCCTGTAAGGTAGGTTTCCACGACAAAACACACTATGCACATGCATGACAATGATTATTGAGGGTGACAATAATACAAAATTGACATATAAATCCCTAGCTTTCATTTTACATGTGATCCGAATGGTATATCTGCATTTCTGTTGCAGCGTCTGGTGGCGATGAACATGCCCCTCAACAGTGACGGGACGGTCATGTTTAATGCCACCTTGTTCGCTCTAGTCCGCACTGCTCTCAAGATTAAAACCGAAGGTGAGTCTGCACCTTCAAGCCATCTGAGATTTTCAACAACTTATTTTTAAATATAGCAGAGAATCCTTCTATTTGCACTGGAACTAACGGGCATGAAAGCTACTTGAGATTACAGCTAAGAAACCCCACTAATTAAAGTACAATACTGTTTTTGAAACCTTCGCCGACAACTTTAAGGGAGTTTAAACTCTTCTGTGTTTGGTAGGGGAAAGGGAGAGAAACGTACAGAGTGGCCTTTTGTAGTTTGGGATTTAAATGTATTAATATTTTTGATTGATCTCCTTATGGGGCTGCAGTCTTGGATTTGATGATGTCATATTTAAGACATCAACTCTGAGATGCCGCATAGTATATTTGTAATTAATATCTGTCATGCTAGTCATGCCTTTTAATAAAGTAGTCCCCTATTCACAACTCTGTCTGAACTCCTTGTGATCATGAAGACATATACAGTTAAACAATTTTCCACTAGAGGGAGCTAGAGATATTCAATAAAAGTTTGATTCCACGGCCTACAGAAAACATAACATTTCAGTCGCAACATGTAGTTTGTGTTAACATAAATAAGGGCATGTTATGCTTCATCCCATTGTATTAATTTACCATCAGGAATTTTGTTCATTATAACATTAAACGTCCAGATTTGTGTTGTGATCTTTGTGTGTGTTTGAGAGCTATAATTAATATTTATCAGCCAGACACCACTTAATAAACCAATGAATTGATAGCTTAGTGCTTTTAAACAAAGTGACCACCTTCTCTACCATTTTCAAGGTAACCTGGAGCAAGCCAATGAGGAGCTCAGAGCTGTGATAAAGAAGATCTGGAAGAGGACGAGCATGAAGCTGCTGGACCAAGTGGTGCCCCCTGCAGGCGGTCAGTGGTCCTCACACACACACATAGACAAGCAGAGATCACAGTAAATACAGAAATAATAATTTGCCTGTTACCATCGTTCACAGTTCAAACAATAACCTCACATGCCCCTCTCTTTCTCTGTACTGTTTTATCACTCCGTTGATTTGAATGCACACTGCTTCTCATTTGTATTTCCCCAAACATTAACAATAGCAACCTCACAGGTAAATATGATGGAAGTCACACAGGAAACTATTCTACATGAGTGTACTGTATGAATAGAGGGAGGAAGGATGTCAAACAACGGACATGTGTTTCCGTTGCAACAATGCAAATATATTCCATTAATTTCCATTAAATATGGACGTCACTGCTATATATATTCAAAGGTTTAAGCTACAGGATGCACTTTGCCACTTTTTTTTATAGCACAAGGCCATCATCCAGTCTTTGCTTTTCTGAAGTAGCAAGGCCTGCTTAGTGAACAAAACCAACAAAGGAAGATACACAGTTACCATCTCTACAGTATTTCACTTCAGTTCACACAGGAACTCTGCTTATCTATAGCTGACAGTCACAGTTTTAATGCGGTCAGTCATAATCTTCCTGTTTTGTTTATCAGTAATCTAGCTGTCTTTCGGTTCTGCATGCTCCTAGCTCTCCCTCGCTGTATAGAGTACATACAGGGGTCGGCAAGAGTTTGGCCTTGGGCCAAAACATTTCTGAGCCACTAGATGGCGGGCCAGAACAAAGGCTAATTTAAGTAATTGATTGTTAAAATCGCTAGTTATTATCCAGTGGAATGCCCTTACCTACTGGCCTAGTTCAATCAAAGTGGTTCATTTGTTTTGGCTGGGCAGTGTTTTACACACAAGTCTCAGGACTTAAAACAGTTTTTTGGGGGCAGACCCCCACAAAGAAAAATAAATATATACACACATAAGGTCATCATCTTAAAGGTAGGGTAGGTAATTCTCTTCAGAAACACTTTTTGTTATATTCCATGGAATGCTCTTAACATCCCGATAGCAATGAATATATTAAATGCTTTGACAATAAATACATTAGAACATTTCATCTGTGGACGCCGTGGTGCTGTAAAAAACACGACCAATCATTTCATTTCAGCCTTCCATCTCGTGCACAAACTTATCTCGTGCCCTCATTGGTCATGTGCGCCTTCGTGTGTGTTGGAGGAGGAGCTCTGTAAGGAAGTGGCAGATTTTTTCCGGCTGTGTATTTTCAAATTCTAGCGCACTCGAGCTGGTTTCTCCAAAATTACCTACCCCACCTTTAACATTTATTTATTTATGCATATTTTTTTATCTCTCCAGTTTTAAACGATATTTTTGGTTTACTGTCCTATAGTATACATTGAAATGATTTCAAACCTGTTTATCCCAATAATTATAAAGGAGTGCCTTGGAAATATGTGTTTACATAAATTGTGATCAAAACGTTTGAGACCCACTGAGATAACTTAGACTAAAGTGAACTATCTAAACACTCAGAGAGTCCTTTACCTCACTGAGCTGTAGTTATCAGCCTCTCAGTCTGACTGGAGAGGACTCTCCCTCCACATTATTGTAGAAACATCTTCTTCTTATATCCGTTAGAGCAGCTAGCACCAGATTCTAATAACAACAGCGCCGGTACCGGTGCGCCCTCCCTCTCTCCCTCGCTCGCTCCCACGCTCACTCGCACTTTGGCTGTGAGCTGGGGGCGCCAGATAAGCCAACATCCCCCATTTTCATCATGTAACCGGGGTGAAAAGGGTGTTACATTTACTTAATTATGAATATTGTTACATTAAGGCCGAAAATTAGGATGAGCGCCAACGGTCAAAGAAATGTGTTTCCCTCCCAGAGCTACCAGCGCAGCGTCTCCCCAGATCTGGCGCCCTAGGCGAACATCTAGAGGCGAAGTCCCTCCCCTTCCGGTTGAGCTCCATGGGACCTTATTTCGGAAAAGTTATGCATTGAAGTCAATGGAGAGAGAAAGATTATCTTTCGATCCCGTTTCAATTGTGCCACGAATTACACATATGATGTTTGTCAATTTAAAAGATAATTTTACAAGTCAAAAACATAAAAATGTGTCGTAAAACTGTGAAGTAACACTTTTTTTTGTGTGAACCGCTCAATGAACTACATCTCCCGTCTCGCACCACACACCAAGACGGCCGTCACGTTGGCACATTTCACTTCTTTCTTTCAGAATGAGGCGGAAAGTATTAAACGAGGTGAAAATCACTCCAAGTCTGGGCATGTTGAGAGCTGTACATACACAAAAGGGGAGTTAGTTGGTTCCGTAAGAGCCAGCATGCGGGACCGGGATTCTGGGATTTGTAGTCTTTCTAGTTGCGTATTTTTCATAGTCTTATATTTCAACAGTTTTACGACAAACTGTGACTTTTCTGACATGGACATTATTATTTAAGGTTGACAAACATCATATGTGTAATTCGTGGCACAATTCAAACGCGATCGAAAGATAATCTTTCTCTCTCCATTGACTTCAATGCATAATCTTTCCGAAATAAGGTCCCATGGGGCGGAAGTAGAAGGGCGGGACTTTGCCTCTCTATAACGCCAGTGCTATGGGCCGGCCCTGAGCGTGTGTGTGTGTGAGGGGCAGCACCAGGGGCGGACTGGCCATCGGGACGAATCCTGATGGGCCGGTACTGAAGTGGGCCGGTCGGACGATGTGGGCCGGTCGGATAAGTCACTAGCACCCCCCCCACATATTTTATTATGTGAAGCACTAAATGGTTTTAGACAAATATCGACTCTTTGTTTGTAGATATCTACTAAACTAAAGCAAATAAAGAGAGTAATGTAGGCCTGTTATACTGAGTGATATATATTATACACACTGCTCTGCTTTCTGCACGGAACTCACAGCCAGGGGCGCCGCCAGGGATTTTGGGCCCCATGAAAAGATATCACATTGGTTACATTTCTACTGATCATAATTCCATTGTTGAGGTAGCCTATACTAAAATAGATTTATATTGTTATATTACACCGACTCACAGCCTCGCCGTGTCCCGCCGTCTCAGGAAGGAGAAATCGGCGGAGCTGCAGCTGAGAAAAGATTGTGTGTGTGTGAGAAATAGTGATGTGTCGGTCGCGAACGAGCCGATTCTTTTGAACGGCTCTTTGGTACGAACGAGGGGAACCGAGTCCTACTTGGTGAGAGCCGTTCTTTTTATCGTTCAATCGTTGGTCCGCACTCACTGCCTGCCAAAATCCACTCGCCTTTTAAAAAGCTTGATTTTGTTCCCCAAACGTATTCTGTGAAGACCCGCCCCTACTCTGATTGGTAGGTTTCAGCACGAGGAGTGAGATGGGGTGGGTCTTAACGGAATATGCGAGAGAGAGAAGTCATAACAAGTGGTACAGGACAGGTAGACGACGTGTTTTTCGGATGGAAAATGAGCCAAACGCGAAAACGCAGCAGCATTTGGATGCACTTCAACCAAAACCCAGGCAGTGATAAAGCGCACCATTTGTAAAGGCAACATATCCTTTAAAGCAGGGTCAACAAATAATCTCCATCGCCACTTAAAAACACAGTATCTAATATTAAGAGTTGCATGAATTTCATTCAAGGCAAGGCAACTTTATTTACTTAACACATACAGAGGGTAAATTCAAAGTGGTACATTCACTGACATGAATGACATGGATATGTCGCCACCTTGTGTCATGTTTACAATGCAGATTATTGACATTAGGTCTGGCAATAGAGTCAATCATTATCCTGGTGATTATTTCGCAGATAAACCTAGTAACCTTAAAAAAACGGCTCTTTTGAACGGCTCTTTTGAACGGCTCTTTGATAAGATCCGGCTCCCTTCAAAGAGCCATAATTCCCATCACTAGTGAGAAAGTCCGCGGATTGGTCCATTTTGACCAATCCACGGATTTCAAAAAATTGAAAAAGAAAATCTCCAACGAGGCGTTCTGGGGCAGCATATACAGGTCTATTCTGTGTTAGAGTTTACTCGCTACAGGGTGTACTTTGAGGGTTTGTGACTTTGCAGACCGTGTACTTGCATAAAAACCTTCATAACACACAAGGGCACGGGTAATAACCGGAAAAGCATGACATGGGACCTTTAAACATTTTTTTCTTAATGTTCTAAACATTTTTGGGCCCCTGTCAGTCACGGGCCCTTAGAATCGTCCTAATGTTTCACCCCCTTAAGGCGCCCCTGTCACAGCTGTTCTCACTGTAAACATCGCGTCACGATGAAAGCAGTTAATAAAATAATATCCAGGGGATGCATGCAGAGCTGTCATTGGCTGAGATAAGTCCGGCCGTGCGTCACGACTCTTTGAAACATCTCTGTTGCCGGAAATGCATCCACGGAGGAGCCGTGGAGGACCCATCAGTGTATCCTCGATTATAGCTCCTCCAGAGAGCCTCCTCGGCGCTCGATCCTCGGTCCTCGATGTGCATTTAGAGAAATGAGATGTCCTTCAACATGGCGCGCTGAAATTCATTTCCGGGTCACTACCGGAGGATTCGAGGAGTCGAGGAGGGGAAATCTTTGAAATGAGACACGGCCCCAGTCTGCTTCGCCTGTCTGCTTATTATTATTATCAGCCCAATTTCATTGGTTTTACAGAACATGCATCAAGTTTTTCTTAAAACAAATATAATCATATACATCTAAGACAACATTTATTATTAGTGGAAATCAACCCCACTGTAACAGGGAAAAACTGTTTTGTATGCTCTTTTATTGGACAGTTCTAATAATCTGAAAAGTAGGCCCAAGAGGTTTTCACACCATAAAAACAAATGAGACACCTGTTCCGGTAAGATATTCATCTGTGGTTTGCCCACATATTTTCCATCTTTTGATCTGCTGAATATGAGCACGAGTTTATGGTTTGTCAGTTGGACATTTTACGGTCATGCACAGCTGTCTAAATATCATAAACATATATCCACATCCTAGGTGAGTCATTACTTGCTTCCGATGATTTATCCACCTTACACAAATAATTATTGGTAATAGAGGGGTGGGGTGATGGTAGGCACACCTGAATGTAGTATGTATTAAGCTTCCTGGTGTTGTGTTCATGTATTTTTTCCAGTGTTCTCATATGCTTACAATTCTAGCGGAACCGCTCTTCTGAGTCAAACATAACTCGACTGTATGTCTTTGTGTGCATTAGTTTGCTTAACCCCCGTCCTGCTTTGTTAAATCTTTTCTGCAAGCCTTGTTTCGCCCACAGCTTCCTTTGCTTTCAGTCAGTCGCTGGCTTTCTTCTTTTCTCTTTCTGCCGCCCTGAGCTCTCTGGAGCAGTTCTGTTTTAGTTTGGTGGCATGAAACTACTGATACCTCCCCTTAAAAAAGTAAACAGGCTCTGCACAGAAAGAGAACCAGCTGTCACGTGTTGGCACAAACTGAAATGTGCATTGATCTGCCTACGTCAGGTTGATGAATCAAATTAAAAAATATTATCCCATCACAAGAGTCAGTTAAACAGTCCTAAAATCACTAGGTATCCCAGCAACCCAGTTACTTTCGTTTGAGTGAATAATATGTCAAAATGGCCACTTCCTTGATTCAATTAAATCATGACAATACAATACAATAATATATATTTTAGTAAAGGCAGTATACAAAACACATTTTTACCACCCTAAATTGACTTTTAGGAATTGGTTTTCGGTTTTCTTTCTGAACAGAGCCTCTATAGTTTCTTTATGGCTGTGTCCAGTTGTGTAGATAAATGTGTTTGGTGCTTTAAGATGGCTCGTCAGACCAGAATTGAATGATGCTTCCATCTTAAAGCATCCATCCTACTGACATTCATCACCTTTTACCCGATTTCTCTCAAACTTAAATTGGCACAAACAAAAAGGTGACAAAAAAAAGTTGCCCACATTTCCTACGCACTGAGACTCAGCCTCTTGTTTTCTTGTATAGTCACGCTCCCCATTCTGCTTCAGCAACCTCATCTGAGTGAATCAGACCTGCATTAGCCTACCTGCATGGCAGATAGTGTGTGTAGTAACGGCTTCCTCTCTGGCTTGATGTAGTTTGTGTGTTCTCCCTTGAGAACGGGCTGTATCTGAGTCCTGCTGCTTCTATTTGCATGTGCTTCTGGCTGTTTTTCTTCTGAGACATATGAAACACCTCTGCTTCTGTCTCTGAAGTGCTTGATCTTAAATGTAGTGAATCTGCAGTTGCCATGTAATGTAGTGTGTGTGTGTGTGTGTGTGTGTGTGTGTGTGTGTGTGTGTGTGTGTGTGTGTGTGTGTGTGTGTGTGTGTGTGTGTGTGTGTGTGTGTGTGTGTGTGTGTGTGTGTGTGTGTGTGTGTGTGTGTGTGTGTGTGTGTGTGTGTGTGTGTGTGTGTGTGTGTGTGTGTGTGTGTGTGTGTGTGTGTGTGTGTGTGTGTGGACAATGCGTGGACAATGCAGTCATAAATTACTGTAATTTAAACTAATCACCAACCTGAGTCTGTTTTTGGTTCATTTATCTTTCAAGAGGGTTGATAATATTATCGCTTGCATCATCGTGTCTTTTTTTTCTGACTGCGATAGAAGGGTTTCAAAACCGCATGCTTGTTTTCGGAGATGAAGCAAGATGTGAGCTCAAGGGATATTATCTGTTGTCGTGTTTAAACCTGCTGCATGTGGGTGTAGATGACATTTGCAGAGGCTCACAGGTTCTCACAGACTTATGACTACATTAAGATTTGTCCTTAAGTGCTCTCACTCAAGATGTAATGCCAAGAAAAATGTCCTGCTACCACCTTTTGTTTTAGGTTTGAACTGATGTAGAATTGCACAGTGCTTTGCTCTGTGCCAACGCCCAGATAAATCATGAAGGCTTAAATTTGCTTGTGAATGATGACCTTCTGATGAGGTGGTGTGTGTGCTGCTATGTTTGGTTCATGGCATTTCATAAATATGTCTTTGTATTATTTTCATTTGGATCGTTACATATACATTGAGTTTTATTGTCCAGATGTCTTTACGTATTCTGCAGCGGAGGTGCTTCATCATTGTAATGTTTGACTTTTAAGTCCTGATAGTTTTAGTGCAATTTGAATTGCACTAAATGTGTGTCATTTCTCTGAGATGAGGAGATAGTGACCTCTGATGAGGGATATTGTTGTTGAAATGTTATGGGTGCAAAGAGAATTTGAGTGTTGAGGTTGTTTCAGAGTTTTGGTGTTGATATCGGAGGCTTTGGTGTGTCTGGTCTGCTCACTCAGATGACGAGGTAACAGTGGGGAAGTTCTATGCCACATTCCTGATACAGGACTACTTCAGGAAGTTCAAGAGGCGCAAAGAGCAAGGCCTTGTAGGAAGGCGCTCGTGGGAAAAGCTGAACACAACCATGGCTCTTCAGGTGAGTAAAGCACAATCTCATACATTCGCTGAGTGAGATGAATTAACAGTGATTATATTAGAGCCAACGTCAACTCTGTCTATGACAATAGAAAGAATTACTTTCAAAAGTCAGCCTATTATCTCCAGTAGACAAAGCGACTTTAAAAGGATTGCCAGGCGACTTAGAAAATACTAAATTATTTTGTAGTGCTCACATAACTGAAAGACCACTTTAGAAACAGGATGATCCAAATCAAACTACTTTACTTATTTGGTAAAAAGACAGAGAACTTTTATCCAGGCTAACCAGAATTTTACATTGTTATCAGTGTTTATGGATAACACTGACGTCACTGAAGTGTACTCTGGTAAAAAAAAAATGTTAGCTCCTAAAAACATTAGGTGCTAACATTTTTTCAACAATAATACTTAACTTGACAGAGATACACATCTGGATAAACCCCCTGTGACATCTGTCAGATCTGGTATTATGGTTCCTCTCTTGGCAGGCCGGCCTGCGCACGCTGCATGACATCGGACCAGAGATCCGTCGAGCCATATCATGTGACCTGCAAGGGGCGGGGCTAGTAGAGGCTGATGGAGAGGAAGAAGAGGATATATACAGGGTAAGTATCCTTGAAACACTTTTTATTTTTTTAGTTATTGAAGGACACTTTTCCTTATATAGGCCAACAAAACAAACCATGTTCCTCTTGTTTTACATCCTACACTTTTAAGAGAGGTTTCTGTTGATTTAAAAAAAATTACTTCCAACTAACAAACTGCCCTTTACATGATTCACTGTTACAACACACATTATATTTGGCATTTTTAAGAATTAGTGAAAGTCATTATCACGTTTCATACTGTGCCTGTCACTCATTGTTAACATTATTGCCTTTTCTTTATGTTTTGAATGTCTATTTAATCATTGTACTAGTACCTCTGAGATTCCTTAATTTAAACATTGCTTATTAGAAAGTGGTACTTGTAAAGAGCTTACTGTGTATAAACCTGTTTCTGTCTTATTACTCATTGGTTTCTGGTGTCTCTCTGCAGCGTAACGGAGGCCTTTTTGGTAACCATGTCAACCACGTGGGTGCAGATCAGCAAGGCTACTCTCACCCGACCACCGCCACCCAGCGGCCGCTACAGATCCTGCCCTTTTCCTGCGGGGGCTCCACCGGGCCAACCCAAACGGGCAGGAGGGCCAGCGAGGGCGACGCAGGAGAGGAGACGGAGATGAACTCTTCACCTATCCAGTACAACCATCATTATCACTCCCCCCATCCGTATAATAACCCCCACTGTATTCCCACCTGCCATCAATCGCCAATCCCCTCCAATGCCAACCTCAACAACGCCAACGTGCCCTCGCTTCTCTCCATGGCCAATGGGAGGCAGCAGAAGTGTTTGTTAGGGCGAGACCGTCCATCCTCTGCCAAAAACCGGTCATCAGTGTCCACCTACAGCAGAGGAGTACACAACAAGCTTTGGAAGTCACACTCCACAAGGTCAGTGAAAAAAAGGATTATAGTCCTTCAACATATGCAGTAGGCATCTCTAAGAACTGTGTAATATCAGTAGAGGAACTGTTTGAATAAGAATCATAAACCAAAGCAGTCTCACGAGCATTTTGTATGATAAGGAAAACTGACTTCAAAGTGTATTTGAGTAAAGAGAGTATGACTAAGCCAAGCTGATATACTGTCCTGTAGGGCTGGTTGATCATTCAATATTCTCAATTAATCGTCACAGATCTATGACATGAATATAATTAGCTAAAACAAATCTTAGTTATGAGGAATAACAATGGAAAAAAGGGCATGTTTGATAGAAACCCACCCTGAACCACCCTTCCATGATGACAAAAAGCTTTTGCTTTCAAAAAGTCTCACGTCATGATATCCTCCCGTAACTCCTGGCATTGTGTGCCCAAACTCCCACTTGTTTTGTTAACATTCCTTTTTCATTTATTTATTATAGTAGAAACGTAAGCAAGCAAATGTGAGCCAAAGCAATGTAAGGTTTATTTGTAGTTGAGAATGACTCACTAATATAAAATAATTATACAACAGGTGCAACTTTCATTAGTGTAATCTTGTCTATTTTTTCATTGCATGCTACCTCTCATTCCGTCCCTCTCCCGAATGATACCGCTCCTCTCCTCTGAGCAGGACACGCTACTATGAGGCCTACATTAGGTATGTGCATGATTTTAGTCTTTTTTCACAGTATGATTTTTGGTGTGTGACACAAACTTGCTGTGAATGCTTCTTACTAATAAAAAGAGAAGATGTGTCCGTTTCAAAGCATGCAATAGAGAATGAGCACTGTGTCCGCATAAAATCTCCAACAAACAGTAACTGTGAATAAAGTCCTCATGTAATTCCTATATGTGAATGATCATCACATTTCAACAGATACATTTTTGACTTGTTTACGTTTTGACTCAAAGGTCAGAGAGCAGCAGTGGGCTCTACCCCACCATTCGCCGAGAGGAGTCAGGGGGCGGAGACAGCGATGAAGAGCGAGGCTCAGGAGAGTACTTCAGTGGGGAGGAGTTTCAGGAAGACGACATCATGGTCACAAAGGACAGGTAACAGCAGCTGTCAGCCCAACAGGAAGTAGCGGCGTATCTTGTTTATATTATTTTATTTATAAGTGTTATCTCAATGGCAAGAATTTATGCAGCATGTATCACTTTTGATTAACTTATTTGCTACCTTTTTCTCTCTTTTTAGCACTTTGTTTTATAACGTTGACATAATTATTTGGGCGACATTACCACATTTAAATAGGTAGCGCGAGTATATTAGGTATATAAAGGTTGACGGCGTTTCCTCTTATCTCAAACAATATTCAAGTTTTTTCTAGTTAATTTACTTATTGTATCTAAGGGAATATGCAGGTTTTTTTTTAATAAATTCATGAAGTAAATCTTGGAATTATTACCTACAATGGCTGTTAATACAGCATAGTAACATGAACAAGATATGAGTTTTTTTTTAAACTTTTTGTTCCACAGATTGTTCAACAGGGACCAGCGTGATGCAGAGGCAGACCTTGACCACATGGTTTCCAGGGGCGACCAACAGCCTGATGGTTACTTTGACGATGACCAACAGCCGATCTACCAAGACGACAGGCGGTCACCCAGGAGATGGCTCTTACCCTCGCCTCAAGGTGATACGCAACAGCACAGCAACTGTTACGTTTATTAAGATGAGTGATCGAGAAGTGATTGAGATTATTTAAAACAGTAAGATTAAATGTTTTTATTTCAATGATTAACAATATCAATTTGATCAATTTGTTACAAATACCAATAAACTAGGCTGATTCATTCACCTTCAAATTAACAAGTTGTGTTTCTGTTATTTAGAAGCAGATTTTTGTAATTAATACAAAGGGAAAAAGTTAATAAGTCATCTGGTGTTATTATTACATATATTTGTGCGTTAAATTAGCTTTTTTCCCCTCAGCCTGCACAAGACCAACATTCAGTTTTGAGTGTCTTCGTAGAAGAAGTAGTCAGGATGATGCTCCTCTCTCTCCATCCTGCACAGCTCTTCCACTGCACCTTGTACATCAACAGGTACACACACACACACACACACACACACACACACACACACACACACACACACACACACACACACACACACATTTTTTATATTTGGATATTGTGATGCATTCATCTACAGTACGTCCCAGACCTGTTTTTGCTCTTCTCTTTACCCCAAAATGCCTGCCTTTTTTGCTCGACCCTCAGGTGATGGCGGTGGCCGGTCTCGATGCCAGCAGAATTCACCGCCGGTCTCCAACGCGATCGCTCCGCTCCTGGGTCACGCCTCCTGCCTCGCCCATCAACAGGGACTGCTCACCCTGCTACACACCTCTCATACAGGTCTGCCTCACTGTGAGATTACATATTTCTAGATAAAGCTCAGATCGTCTAGCGTTTGCCCTAACAAAGGGGTTGTTCATGTCAATATTGGTGAGGTGTAAAGGTTTTTAGTGAGCTTTACAGGTCTTAAGGGGCCCTATTATACTTTTGGGGGGTTTACCCTTTCCTTCAGTGTGTTATATAGGTTTTTGTGGATGTAAATAGTCTGCAAAGGCTAACATCCCAAAGTTCCTCTCCCGCAAACTACCCCCGTGCTGAAAAGCCTTCATCGGACTCATTTGTTTACTTCTGTAACATAGTGACATCACTACGTACCACTCATGTTTTTTATTGGCTAGCGCTCCAACGCATTGTAATTGATAGGCTAAGGGGCGGGACATCTATAAGCGGCTGAACACAGCATACAACATAGCTAACCAATCAGAGCAGACTGGGCTCTGGTTTCAGACAGAGGGTGAAAAGAGGTTATGCAGCACAGGCATTATGAGAAAAATGAATACCTTTTTGAACATTAAAGCATGTAAACATGTCACAGTAGAGACACAAAATACAGTCATGAAACCTCAAAATGAGCATAATAGGGCCCCTTTAAAAAAGTCAGAGTGATAGTCTTTATAAAGATTGTTCTCAGTCGGAATTAACTAGCTTGCTTAATACATTGTCTGCAAGTGTTTGTAGGTCTTTTCTATAAAGTCATGTTCGTGTGTATCTGTGTGTGGTATCAGGTGGACTGGCGTAGTCACGGCAGCCTGGGTAGCCTCCCCGGAGCGGTGAAGAGGAGTTCGTGGTATACAGACGGCCATGACGGTCCTCCCAGCCGCAGTCACTCTCCGTCCCGCCTGCAGCTTCCCGCAGATTGCTGCTCTCACTTCCTGCAGAAGAGAGGAAGCGCTATCAGTGTGGTGGAGGCTGTGAGTAAAGATTATAAAGGGTCCTCCAACATTAGAAAAACTCTGATAAGATTTAATTAACACGTATTTAAAATGATCATAGTTTTAAAACTGACTTTATATGCGAGTGTAACATTAATACTTTTATTACCAAGCCCTTGATAATTGAAATTGTTTAATCAATGAATTGTCATTTACCAACATCAAATTTGTATTTGAACAATTCTTAGATTTGATAAGCAGTCAAAACTTTTTTTTCTCCTGGAACCCCTATGAGGACTGTGAGAATCCACCTGTGTCTCAACATTTACTTGAAGGTCCCATATTATACTATATTTGAAAAATATATTATAGGGCCATATCTATACAAAACTATCTCTGAATTGTTGTGCTCAAAATACCAAACAGATCACCCATTCTAGCCATGCCTTATAGTCATACCCCTCTATTTCAGCCCTGGTACAAAAGTGCTGATTTTGAGTCTTGCTTATGTAAACACAGACCATATTACTTCCAAAACATGTCACACATTTCCGATATGACGTCAAGTCCACAGCAAATCTGGATCAGCTCCGTTGTACCTCCGTTTTTAGAGATGTGGGTAAGGAGAAAAGAGAGAGGGTTTTATTTTCTGACACTTTGTGAGTCTCCTTACACACCGGGGACACATTTTTATGTATAAAAGACATACAAAAGTGCATTTTGCATAATAGGTGGCCTTTAAATTGTGACTTGAAATAATGTTTCACTTCCCCAGGTGTTGATCTCCGAGGGTCTTGGGAAATATGCCAAGGACCCCAAGTTTGTGACAGCGACCACAAACGAAATCGCAGACGCCTGCGAGATGACCATCGATGAGATGGAGAGCGCCGCCAGTAACCTGCTGAACGGCAGTATAGATAGCTGCAGCCCAGGGGCCACGGGCAGCGAGGGCTCGGACTCGCAGGCCGCCTCGCAGCTCAGAGACAGCAGCATCCGGGACTACAGCGACGAGGAGCCCTGCGTGGCTCTGAAATGCGAAGAGGACCTAACAGATGAGATGATATGCATCACATCCCTATAGCAGCGGCTCACATGGGATTATTTAGGTTTTTTCAATTGAATTTCTACAACCAATCCACAGTGAGGGGATGTCTCAGTTCAGGAGCATCCTGGGGAAAATGTAAAATATGGGGGGATAAGAGAACAAAGTGCCTTGTTTTCTCTTTCTGTGGAGTGGAGACGCAGAGAGGAACAGATGGTTGTATGGGAGAGCTGAGGTTCAGTCAGCAAATATTGAAGCCAGAGAGACTCTATCTTTTCGCCAGCCTGCCGGTCATTTAGCAGGAATTCGGGATACTCCTTAGAAGGTGTTTTATTTTGTTATTTTCTTCATTATTAGCGGTGGTTTGAAACAACAGAATAACCTGCCAGCCTCGCAAAGCCAGCCCAAAGCTCATAAAAGTTAGTTTTCCCAAAAACATACTTTGAGAAAGAGCTGCACACTGGATACTGGAAGTGAATGTACTTGGTTATTCATATTATTTTTTTTGCCTCTGTACTACAGTGCATTGTTTTTCAAATTAAACAGCAACTTTGATGGCTTTAATTTGAGGAATTTGCATATTGAGTGAACAATAGCAGGATTGTTCTGATGCGTAATCCAAAAGTTGTGGGAACATGTTTAAAAGAAGAACAGCATTCCTACAACATAACACTGTGTCACACTGATGTTTGAAAGAGTAACGCTGGCTTTGCAAAGCTGCTTTTGTCCTGCTGCAAAATGTCTTGTCCTGAGTCCTTGTTTTCAGATGGGTGTTTCATGTCATGTATATATAACGTGTGATTTTATAAAAAAATAACCTTTAGTGGTCACGATAAGAGACCTTGGTTATTCACATTACATTCTGGCCTCCTACGTCTTGAATTAACACATAAAAGGTGATTGAAAGAAATTATATTTTTATTTTGTTAATTTATTTCAGCTATTGTTAGTGCAGAGCTACACTCAGGCTGATCTGAGTCCAGATGTTTCAGGGTTAAGCATTGCTCGTCTCGGTACTTGACTTGAAAAGGAGATCACATATCACAGAATAAAGACTTTGTCCTCAGGCATATCCACACGTGCACAATGATCTGAAACACAGAAACTGTGTGTATATAATACTCTTCGCCCTTTACAGCAACAACAGAGAATTAATGTTACCCCATTTTACTTGCTTAAATACTTTAAACACCCTTAAAATAGAGGAAGATATGGTAGTTAGTAAACTGTTTCCATTGTGATCCTTAAAGGGGCCCTATTAAGCCTTTTTTAGGGTTTCTCATTCCCGTAGTGTGTTGTATAGGTTTGTGTGCATGTAAATGGTCTGCAAAGGCTAAAATCCCAAAGTTCCCTCATGCTTCTATTGGCTAGCGCTCCAACACATTGTACGTGATAGGCTAATGGGCGGGACGTCCATAAGCGTCTGAACAATCACAACAGAGCCGGCAAGCTAACCAATCAGAGCAGACTGGGCTCTGGTTTCAGACAGAGGGTGAAAAGACCGGGGAGGCAGTATGAAAACAAAGCACTTTTTGAACATTATAGAATGTAAACATGTCACATTACAATAACATTTATAAAACCTGAACATTAGCATAATAGGGCCCCTTTAATCTTTATCCGAGCCCCTTAAAGACTATGAGGAGAGACCATTTCATTGGTAGAAACTCAGCCATAATACGCAATGAAAATAGGACAAACATCAGATAATACTGTAGAGGAGGCACATTAGTCTGGTATGTGAACATGCTGAATTAGGCTTCAAGTAGGAATCTGTTTCAGATTACTCATCGAGACAAGATAAAACTAATAATCCAGAGATTCATGCCTGAGTCATTCAAATATTTGCTGACATGTTAGTTTCACCTACTGAGCAACGATGAGAATAAACAATGAATTCCTCTTCAGGCATTTGAGACCATGAGTCAATTCACGCACATAGATTTCAAGGTTTGACAGATATTTTACATTTGTGACTCACTGACGGTGTACATTTTGAATACCATAACAGAACTCTGCTAAAACAAATTTAATTCTTTGTGTGTGTCTTTTGACTGAAATTATGTCAGCTCCTGCAATGTATTCCTATTTATTTTCAACACTTACGTGAGTGCTCAACAAGTCTACAACAGCTGCTGTCTGTGAAGGGAACCTACATAACCTTCTTGTAGATTAAAAACAACATGTATCTTTGCTACAGCACTAACCAGTCTTTTTTCTACCACTGCCAACCGTAACAAGGTCTTCAGGTGTACTTTTACAAACTACAATGGTTTGTGGCTGCAGGGCTATCTACTTTTTTCCTTCAATCTAATACTGTTGTCAGGGCAACATGTGTAATCTGTTCTACCAAAGGGCTCTTTCAAATATAAAACCAAAAGGATGAGATTGTTAAGTGCATTTAAACACACATGAATATTCAATTATTATTCCAGATTTGTTTCCATTTATATGTTGTCAAAAAGTATGCGGATTATTGTGTACAATGATAACAAAAGGGTTCATGCTTATACTGGAAAGTTATTTTCTTTATAGTCAATAAACATACAGGTGAATTTAACCTGAGCTTTATATGAACTGTAAATGCACTCATGTCTTGATTGGCCATCACTGCATTTACCAACTGCATGTAAATTGTGTTTAACTAAGAATTAATGACTCATACTAATTGTTATTACCTCTGTGACTATCCGGATGTGTTGGTTAAAATGTCAGGGAAACTGTCGCAGTGTTTGATTGACAGGTGAATAAGAAGCAGTGAAAACTAAACAACCAACATCAGAAAAAAACGAAACAAGAATTACATTTAAAATCTATTCATTTTCCCTAAATGCAACCAGACTATGCTGACCTACAAATACATGTTTAAAGTAATTAGGATCACGTTAAAAGCCATATTACTCAAATGCTTTAGGGAGAAATCTGTACATTTGCTGCACCTAGGAATACTCATCTGGCTGTTGTGGGAATCAAACCTGTGATGGAATGTCTTATGGAAAAAACTGATATTCGTTACAGAACAAACCAAAACATTTAGTTAATTCAGTGTTTGAGACACAGCCAACGACACCAGAAAATATAATCATCTGCTGCTTATTCATCCATTCAGTTTCATTTAGACTTATCAAAAGAAGCATTGTGACAAAAACCAACACAGAGCATCGTTGTCCAACTGAAGGCTTTATTATTTTCTACTGTTCCACTGCCATACAAATGTCCATGGAATGACAACATGTATACAATCTGTACAGTGTTTGTAAAAAACAAAGTGATACACATTTCTGCTTTCTACCCATTTGTTGTATGGAAATTAAACAATATAGCTCTATCTACTTGTAGCATAAGTTCTAGTACCTTATAGATTTTGTACCAATGAAAATCAAACACCCTGTTTTGTACATTTTAATTCTTGACGATGAACCTGCTGAGATTTTTTGTAAGGATCACTGAATAAAGTCAAGAGGATAAAGTTAGGGTGGCTCTTGTGTTTGTTTACAATCATTATAAGAAGAATACAAATATAAAGAACGTTCACAATAATGTTCCCTTAAAAATCCTTCATTAGGACACACATGATTCCAACATTTAGTAAACACAGCTCATAGTGTAAACACTGTAATGTTACTTCATAGTATAGAGTATAGTGCAAAGCTCAATAAGACACATTGTAATTCATTGTAGCACTCGGCTGTTTCCATCACAGCTAAAAACTAAAAACGCATATTTAATTAAAATCAGCACTTCATGCATGAATTTAAGGACGATTTTCAGTGAAGCCGATTCTAAAATGTATATCAGTAACACACTATACATCAAAAGTAATTCAACAAACAGGCACATATAGTATTATCAATAATACTTATTGATCTTCAAAAGCTTATTTGTAAACACGCTACATTGAGATAAAATGTATAAAGATTATTGTATACGCTTTTTTTCAGTTTCAACAAGTTTTTAGTGTATACAGTAGTTGCCATAAAAAGCATTTTAAGACACAATCATTAGCAACATATGCTAAGCTATAATTTGCAGGTTAGTAAAATTAAACAGACTGCCCTGAACGGAAGGCAACACAAAGCTGTTTGCTTAAGACTTCATATTCAAGTGGGTCGCTGCTGTGCCAGCAACTCTGGGACAGGGGTAGAAAAAGTACTCTATTTGTCTTTTATACTGTCTTTTTATAAAGTAAAGGTAGCAATACAAAATTGTAAAAATGCTTAAGTAAAAGTACTGGCATCAAAATATAGTTAAAAAACCTTAACATTGGCTAATCACTTAAATAAATCCTGGATGAAGCTGCCCTAGTTTTCAGCTTTACTAACAGTTCAAATAGGTGCAACAAAAACAGCATTTCGTAGAACTGTTGAATCAGCTAGTTTCCAGGAAGGAAGAGGAATGTTACCATGGTGACGGCTGAACTCACAGAATAGATTAAACAGAAAATGTGCTGGGCTGACAGTCTGCTGATTAACAGCCAGACAAGAGTAATCATGACTCAAACGACACTCTTGATGTGGCCAAAAAGATATAATATACGAGACTGACGAAAAGAAATAACTTTGTTCTGTCAACACTTTTTACAGGCTAAGCCCTAGTGTTGGAAAATAGAGTGTGATGATTGAAGTGTTTTTTTATGATAAGGAGGGTTAGGTTATTATTAAGCTTACAATACCATGGGGTGTTGTGTAAGCGTAAGATATGTGAACTTCTCACATACCGAAACCAATTCAAAGTTAATATAGTGTTAACAAGGTAATGCCAGGCATCTTTCCCAGCAACCATGTGTTTCAACCATGAAGTGCCAGCACGCAGCTGCCCTTATAAACATGAGGGAAAACTGTGACTCATATTAGCTCAAATGTAATTAAATACATATGTCATTTTAAAAGTAAGAACATGAACTATGTAAACTGCTAAAATTGACAATTTGTTTTACACCCTTATGGCTTTGAATTAAGATAGCATAGATCAGCCCTCATAATTATTGTTCACCTGTGACTACACATCAAACTGACCTTGTGTGTGCACATCAAGTGCAACACACTCCCATTATTCATCTACAAGGCCGATGATCCTGATCTAACACACAACAAGCTGTTTACTGCTGTTGTCACCTGATGGTGTATTTTGCTGTTACCCTTCACTCTGTTCATCTTTGTGTGTCGAGTGTCGGCGGTCGGTACACAGGAACCCCGGGGTCCGCGAGAGGAGGACGACCTCTGATGATGTCAGCAGCCTTCTCCGCCAACATGATGGTCGGAGCGTTCAGGTTGCCGCTGACGATGCTGGGCATGATGGAGGCATCGATCACGCGCAGTCTCTCCAGCCCCATGACACGCGTGTTGGAGTCGACCACGGCCATGGGGTCGGAGGGCGAGCCCATCTTACAGGTGCAGGACGGGTGGTAGGCGCTGTCAGCTTTGCGCCGCACAAAAGCGTCGATTTCGGAGTCGGATTGGACCTCGGGACCAGGCTGGACTTCGGGACCGCGGAATGATTCGAAGGCCTTCTGGGCAAAAATCTCTCTGGAGAGCTTGACACACTGCCTGAACTCCAACACATCAATGTCTGAAAGGGGATATAAGAGTAGTACTATGAGCAGTATTCCATTTAAAATCCAAAGACCAAGGAAACATATTATATAAAGTACAACCATAATTAAGCAGGTCTAGACAGTACGCTCTTTTGGGAAGTTCTCCAAACCGTTGATGATTTTAGTGCCTGACTGTTCAGTGGCTGAATCTTACCGGTGGAGAGATAGTTTGGCTGGAGAATGGGGTGATCCAAAGGGTTGGCGCTCTTCAGCTTCATCCAGCCGATACTGGTGCTCCTCATTGTTCCCACATGAACCTACAACACCAACAGAAACAGTTGTTACTGCTGGATGTTTTGGGCTCACACCTACTACTGCACAGGTAGACTCCCAGGGTTTCCAAAACGGCCTTAACACCAAGTTCTGAGACTTTCCAGGCCCAATTCCCTAAAATTCATATATCGGCGAATGCATGGATCAAGGTTAATTACTGTTACAACACTGAGAGTTCTTTATAAGATGAAGGAGTCTCACTTATATAAATTCAATCACTTTCAATCACCCATGTCGATTTACAAAAATGTTCAGGACCTTGATTTTTTCCCCTTAAATTGACAAAGCTTCAAGGCTTTTAAAGACCCATACTGACAGTGAGGAGAACGCAACCTTACTGTGTGAGAACATAACCTGACATTCTTTGTGCAGCAAAACCTCCTCTGTTTTATTAGGAGCAACCACGCAGCTAAAAATGTACTTTCAGAAAACTCTGCAAACCGAGAAATTAGTAAAGTAAAGCAACTATTATTTGTTGCACGAACTACAACCACAAATCTAGTGGATTGTCTTTTCTACATCCCCATTATGCCATTCTCAATATGAATGTATTTGCAATCATGATTCCTGCACACAGAAACGCATTCATCAAACAAATGCCTAAAGCCTTTTGTAGCAATTCAATAGAAATGTAATGTTGGGATGTCTCAACTTGCTCCTCTTAGGTATTCTTCTCTGGAAAGGCTATAAATCGCAGCAGTAAGCTCACTCTCAACTCTCAGGTGATTTCCAAGGAGCTCTTTTTATCAAATAAATGTATGCAGTGCATGTGGTTTTCCCTGGAATGGCACGTGACTGTATAAACACTAAGTATGTGCTTTACGTGATGGGCTGGTTAGTCTAATCTATTGTGTATGCATCACTTTATGCTTTCCATGACACACTGTTGACACATACCTAACACACACTAATACACAGCTCCCTGTGTAATAAAATGAAACCATAATCATAAATCCTGATATAGCTGCCACACATATGCAGTGAAGTCAGCTCCCACCTTCTTACATAGACAGACACACACCTGATATGCCTCGATCTTGGAGGCAACTCGCCCGTGGTCGATGACCTGCGATGGCAGGAAGTGAAACTGGATGTCTGGGTGTGTGACTTTTGGACGACTGCGGATGAACCCCCCGCTCTCCAAGTGGGATGTTGCTCCATAACCTAGAGGACAGTCGTCATGGTTCATGTGAGGTTGCACACAAAGCATCGGTCTTGTGTTGATCATAAAGAGATTACAGATATGTCACACATGAGTACACAGGTGTAGATGGTGGCTCTGTTTCATCTTGTCTCGTGGTGTGTCTAATGAGTTGGCAGCTATGTGATGCATGTGGCAACTGGCAAACCTGCACCCCACGGAAAGGACTCTTTATCTGCCTTTACGTGACGGGATAATTCCTTTTAGTTCAAATCTGTGTTTCTGTGGTTACCTCCCCTGTTGTCTGTGTCCCAGCTAAGCTGTTATCTCGTTGGTTGCGCTTTGTAAGGTCAATGGAGTACAAAGTTGAAATAATTTGAACTTTGAGCTCTTTATCCTCAACAATGGCACGGCTGCTGCAGGGAGCTTTTACTGCTGATCACTTGGTTATGAAATTTGTATCTTTGTCTTGTAAAACCTCCTCTTACAACAGATTATTGTTCAAATTGAGCAGATACATAACCACAAGGGTTTATTTATGTGTTTCTCCTGTTGCCAGTAATGGGGTGAAGCCTGCGAGCTAGTTCAGGCAGTCAACTCGAGCACTTATGCTGCATTCATACATAACGCCCCTTGCCACTCTACAACCAACCAAACAAACAGAGTCTCCTTGATATGCCGCTCTATTTAACCTGCCAGATATCTCTCTATGCATTGCTTGCTGCTGCTTTGCTGCAGCTACTTCTACGTCGCTGCTGCTTGCCTGCCCCACCACCACCCCAGCTTCCACCTTTAGGCTCGGGGGGGTTAGTTATTTAATCATCACTCATCGTGCTATGTATATCTGTGGAGAGATGATGCCCGAGCCTAGTCGCCAAACTCAACTATATGCTGCTTCTAATAAACATGTTAAAGAAACATGCGAGTTGTCTGACTGAAATAAATGACTTTTTTTGTTTGAACAAACAGAGATAATTTTAACCCATACCTGTTCATAACTGATATTTCTTTTTGATATATTTACTTGAAATTCCGCAATATACAGTAAACCTACAAAAAAGTCACTATTTTTGCAGAAGTGTTTTGGTTACCAGTGAACATGGTGAGCCACTCCAGGCCTATCTTGACCATGTGGAAAGGTTTCTGTGCCTTGTAGAGGGAGATGGGCTGAGTGCACTGCTGCTGGACGTACAGCTCCAAATGATCCTGCAGGTTACTGCCAACACCTGAAAAACAAGAGAGGAATAACCAGGCATTTTTCAGAGGCCTTATTATGCTTTTTTAGGGTTTCACTTTCACTTTCGTGTTACATAGGTTTTTATGCAGGTTAATTGTCTGCAAAGACAGGGAATGAAAAAAAAGGCTTTTTGTTACATTCACACATGTAAAAATGTAAAAGTATAGGCACAATATACAAATATGAAACCTGAAATTGGCACAGCAGGGCCCCTTTAATACAATGCATTCCGGGGCTGGGCTGAAAGCGTTATGAGGTGAAAATGAATCCCTCTATTCTCATGTGTATCAAATAAATAAAAAATCAAAACTCTATCAAATCTATGCATCTTTAAATCTCACATTTTTTCTTTCCATTTCTGTTGTTTAAATAATGGCCTTTAAAATGCTTGCATGGTTTAAAAAAAAAAGAATATACCTGGCAAGTGCTGGACCACAGGGATGCCGTGTTGTTTCAGGTCATCAGCATTCCCCACCCCAGACAGCATGAGTAGCTGAGGGGAGTTGATGGCTCCTCCACTTAATATCACCTCTTTTTCTGCATATGCCTGAAAAGAGACCAAAACCACTTTGAACAGGAGTTCACATCAATGCTAGCGGCTATATGCTAACGTAAACATGTTACCATTTTGACGACAAAATGACGGTAACGACATTGTAATGTGAACCCCATGACGACATGAGTCAAAGGGTCAAAGTGATGAGATTATCTCTCTGGGAAACATGAGGGTTTGAACAGTGAATAACTGGCTGAGTGAGTGCAAGCTGAAAAGTCAGGAGATAATAGAAGCCATTATGAGGCATCCAATGGGCAACGCAGAAATCTGTGCCAATTGTTCCAAAAATGGTTCTTTATGAATGATTTGTAATTGTATCGATCGTACCCTTTTCTTTTGTCCATCCTGTGTGTACTCCACGCCAACGGCTCGATTGCCATCAAACAGTATCTTGGTGGTCAGGCAGCGAACCTCTGTCGTCAGGTTGGGCCGACCCAGGGCGGGCCTCAGGTAGGCGCTGGCTGTGCTCCATCTCTTTCCTGGACAGATTTGGGCAGTGAGATGTAGGCAATATTTAAGTGTTGGTTTATTAAAGATGTATAAATACAAGTTCCTATTCCCTCTAACCTTTATGAACGGTCATGTCCATCCAGCCCAGGCCCTCCTGTTGCTCTCCGTTCATGTCGTCAGTGAAGGGGTATCCTGCCTGCTGCCCCGCCTCAATAAAGGCTTTGTGCAGGGGGTGGTCGGTCTTCCCTCTGGACACGTGAAGAGGTCCACTGCCTCCCCGGTACCTACAGTACAGGGTCACATAAGAAACACAAATGTTATGATGATAAATTTACTTTTCAAAATGAAATCCATTGATTTGGTCTGTCAGATGTTTTATTTTCATTAGTTTTAATTTAAAAAATAGATTATATTAGGTGCTTTTTATGCCATATTCTGTTTGTGAGGTAGAATGCTTTTTAGATATGTAGAAACCAAAATTATTAGTTATGAATACAGGTTTTTTTCATTTAAAAAATACAATGAAATAGATGCTTTTGAAACACCATTAATGTATAGTTGTATCCCTCTGAGCAAAAGGTTTGTGCCTCCTGATGTATGGCAATGGTTTTGAGATTTGACACATAAAAGTAGAATAATGTCAAAATGTGCACGACCTGAACTTCCAATTCCTGCATGTGAATAAGAATACAATGCAAGGAAATGTACCAAAAATAAATAGCTTTGGACATTTTTCCTTGGAGGCTTCATCAAGGCTTAAGTAATCTAATGCCAGACGAAGGATGAAAAAAGTTAAGCCATTACATTTACAGTTTTTTTTTTAATAAAATGTAAAGCGTGTGAACATCGCCACTCCACAACACCTGAGTACCAGGGGCGTTTCCTGGACCTGGAAACATTCGGGGCTTAGCCCACAGTGGCGGCGCCAGAGATTTTCTTTTGGGGGTGCTGTGGGGTAGTTTGACGTTTCAAAGAGGGTGCTCAAACATGTAGGGTTTCCCATTAATGTACCGGGCGCTACAGTGGAATGTTCTACTGCAACACTCCCCACACGCACATACACAGTACACCCGTGACTGTTACTATGAAGGCTCGATAATCAGCTCACAGCATAGTACAGCACAGCACAGTAAGCAGGGGTAATGTGCTATTTTTATAAGGGGGGGGGTGGACCTAACATCCTCTAGGGGGGTCCTCACCTCCTCTAGGGGGGTCCGGGGGCATGCTCCCCCGGGAAGATTTTTTTTTAAATATTGAAGTTAAAACCATCAATCTGGTGCACTTTGAGAGCAAAATGAAGAGATCTATGGATACATCTCTCAACATCCATATGAAACAGAACTGTAAACAGATTTTATTTTTCTTTATGGATATTTTACTAATCACTCCCCTTTTAAACTGTATTCTTGTTTTACTGTCATATAGTATTTCATAACTGTTTTTCATTTAATCTCTTATTTTTTTATAACTATAATGATCATATAGAAGAATAGGGGAGGGATGAAACCCTCTTTAATGGTCACACATGCAGAGCACACAGCACACACAGTGAAATTTGGCCTCTGCTTTTAACCCATCCTAGTACAAGGAGTCTAGTACTAGGAGCAGTGAAGGTGTGCCTTGGAAATAATCATTTACATAATAATTGCATTCACCGAACACGAGAAATTACAATCCTGTCATGATGAGGTTCAGGTAAAGCACGGTTAATGTATTATTCAGGGTAATTCAGAAATTATCACATGACTTGAAGTCATATCTGATTTCAGATGTGGGAAGTTACTAAGTACACTTATTCAAGTAGGCTACTGTACTTAAGTACCATTTTGAGATATTTGTACTTTACTTGACTTTGATCTACTTTGTAAAATTAGCTGCACCTTTACCAGCTCTAATAACACTTTAATGATCAATCATTACAAAACATATCATATATATTATTCTGAAATGGACCAATCTGCACAATGACTACTTTTACTTTTGGTACTTCAACTATATTTTGATGATAATACTTTTCTAATTTTACTTGAGTAACATTTTGAATGCTGGACTTTTACTGTAACAGAGTATTCTACGGAGCACCCTAGGGGACATGGAGAAGAAAAAATAAATTGGTTGAAAAAAATTAAAATTAAAATGTTTTGCGAGATCTGAATCGAGTATTCAACTAAGCCATGTAATAAAAGATTTATTACATGGCTTAGTTGAATACTCGATTCTGATTGGTCAATTCAGAACACATGACACGTTGTTAATCCAGAACAGACAGACCGCTGTCAAGGATTTATTGACCGTTGTTAAGGATGCTCACATCTGCACAAAGAAGTCTGTTAGATTGAACTGTATACAGTTTGGCCGAAAAGCAAGTTTGCTTTTCAAACTGGGACAAGAAAACAGCGGAGAAGTAACGGGGCAGAAACCCTCCTTTTTACGCAACGGTCCAGACATAGACATCAAACAGCAAAAACATATTCAGTTGCCAGTTACTTTGGCATTAGGGCAGGGATATCTAGATACTTTCCAAGCTTTGACATAATGAATTGTGCTACTTATAAAGCAAGCAACGATGTTTTCAAATCTGTAATCAAAAAGCTCCTCAAAAACGCTATCGAAGCAGTTCCTGCCGTTGCTAAGGAGGATCAAGAAAGAGAAAGTAAAAGAGGGTAAAAGACAGAGCGCTGGACGTCAGATAAATCCCCAGAAGAAGGCAGCGAGGAAGTACAGGAACACGGTATGGGCTCTGCAGTGTTTAAGGACTTGTTAGTGGCTCAGAAACTGTGAACAGAGTTGGACAATGCTGAGTGCTGCCATAAAGTTGTTGTTGTCGCAGTTCCAGCTGTTGGTGCGCCGTGGAACAGAGTTTTTTTTTTCTTAGCGGAAGAAATACGACAATTTTTAAGTCAATAAAATCATTTCAATTAATATTGGGAGTCGAGTCGTTAGTTTGTTTAGTATATGGCCATGTAATAAGCGGAATAATGTGCAGCGACTTGGTCATTATGGGGCAAATAACCCCCGACAGGCTCATCAGAGAGCCTGACGCGAAGTGGAGGGTTCTTGATGAGACTGAAGTTTACTCCATTGAGTGTTGACAAGAAACACGTGTAGACGAAATATGTGTTTTGTTTTGATGTTTTGAGGTACGCAAAGGCGCGTAGACCATAGACTGTATATATAAAGGTAGTGACACAAGTGACGTTACGCAATTCAGATTTGTGCCGCGCATGCGTACCTGCGTACCAGTTATGTGCACCCCTGATTATATTATTGAGGGATAATTGTCCGGGGCTACAGAAAAAACATTCGGGGACGCCACTGCTGAGTACTAACACCAATCAGGCTTGGCATTGACCATGTGTTGAGTACGTGTTTGTCTTGCTGCTTCGGGGATGAGGTAAACAGTGGAACCACTATGTTTATCTAACACTGCAGGATAAGCTTCCTGTGGATGCACGGCATGATAATAGGCTCGTTTGAGATGAGCGAGACCGACGCAGACCTGCGCAATTGCGACTGCCGTCTTGCTAGTGCGTTGCATGATGGTTAGTAATGTCCGACTTGCTCTGGAGGCTCGACTGTTTGTTGTTGTGTACATTACTTTTCACTTTACTGCTTTATGCACTCCTGGTTAGAAGCTAAACTGCATTTCGTTGTCTCAGTACCTGTAATCTGTGCAATAACAATAAAGTTTAATCTAATCTTGAGCAGGAACAAATGTATTTACTTAGTACATATCTGACATTAACGATTAAACACATTTGTGCATTCTTTATAAATGCAAACCGAGTGAAGCCGACTCCGAGCTGTCCGACTTCAGGCGAGCCTTTTGAGACCTCCCCCGGCTGCAATCGGCTATTCTCGTCTACTTTCGAGGCGGACTGCAGCTCATCTCAAACAAGCCTAGTTACAGTCACACGTAAACCAAACTACAGACAACCTGATTATCTTTTACAATAACACCTGGAAAAATGCATGACTTTTCTGATATCTACTTCCCTGTTCTATTTGTTTCCAGACCACACAAGTCTTTATTATTCATTTGCATGTGCCAAAGTTAGATCTGACGCATTAAATGTAACCTTTGAAACTCATGCGACCAGGTTCTGCGTGACGAGGGATCCTTGTGCCTCTGCACATTTCCTTTAAAGTGGACCTATCATGCTATATTTGAATAATATAGTGTAGGACCATACCTATATAAGGCATATTTATACTTTTTTTTTTTTTAAATACCAAACAGATCATGCATTTTAGCCATGCCTCATTTTGCTCAATTTGACATTTTTTAGATCTGTTTTAGCAAGGGCAGATTCAGTGAGAACAGCACCATCTACAGGCCTGGCATATGTACTACAGCGTCTCCAGCGCTTTCGAACGGCAATGGCCGTGGCTGTCTCCTCCTGATTGGTGGAGTTGGCCCAATAGCCGTAGCGCCACCGTCCTGACGTCAGGACAGTGTTCAAATCTGGATCCGTTTTTATCAGATCCGTTGCAGTCCCTTTTTTAGAGATTTGGGTATGGAGGAAAATAGAGAGGGTTGTGTTTTCTGACACTTGGTGAGTTCCCTGGAACACCGGGGACACATATTCATGTATAAAAGACGTACAAAAGTGCATTTTGCATGATAGGTCCCCTTTAAATTACAGTTGCCACCCAGGAAGCATTTTGAAGCCAAGTGAGTCTGTGGGACTGAAGCATTAGCACTGCCAGAGTTAGGGCTCCCTACTATCCATGTTTATACATCAAAAAAATAAAATGTGTACGGGCGGAGGGACGGCAAGGGAGTTTTGTTTTGTACCTGTTTTCTCCCAGCTCATGACACTGAGCTTTCCTAAAGTAAGGCAGACAGTGTTCGTAGTCCCAGCCCTCGGCCCCCTCCCTCTGCCAGCGGTTGTAGTCTTCAGCGTGTCCGCGGATGTACACCATGGCGTTAAGTGAAGAGGACCCGCCCCAGACGCGGCCCCTCGGCCAGTACAACACCCGGTTGTCCATGTTAGCCTGATGTTCAGTGTGGTAGTACCAGTTATACCTGAGGAGAAACGTGAAGAAATAAAGCATGCCATCAAAATGGAACCAGTTTAACAGTTTAATAACATGTTACTATATTGAGAAAGTTATCAAAATGCTGCATTGATCACCACTGTTTTATGGATTAGTCCATGTGAAATAATTAACTACTTTACTTGTCATCGCAGAGGTTGTAGGTCAGTGCAGCTGGCATGTGGATCTTCCATGAGAGTCTTTTTATGCCTAGCAGCATGTCCTTAGGCCCAGCCTCCAGCTGCAGCACAGACTCATGGGCGTCCTCACTGAGACGGTTGGCGAGGACGCAGCCCGCTGACCCTGCCCCAACAACAATATAACTGTAGCACGGGGTTTTCTGATTGGCTGTCGGTGATGATGAAGCGTTCCAGTGAGCAGCTGTGGTACTTAAACATCTGTGATGGTTGGACGAGTACTGGTTACTATTCCGGTAAACAAGTTCTGGCCAACATGTAAACAGGCACCTGCCATCCTTCGTAAATCTCCCTCGAGCCGCAGTCACAACTCGTCGGGCACCAGTTTGGCCTGACATGGCCAAAAACAACATCCTGGTTGTGGGAGGGGTTTCTTCATTCACTGTAAATCAGAAGAACAGACATTAAAGGATGCACTTGAGGGGGAAAGCTGGAACAGCGTGAAATACATCTGGCGTTGAGATGTGGAAAAATGTGCTCATTTGTTTACTGGCTTTCTAAGTATGCAAAGTGTGGGTTACAGATATGCGTTTGGCTGACATTTCTTCTCCAGCCACACCTTGACTTATTTTTTTATCTCAACTCAACTAGAAATACTTCACTTGGAGACAGTTATTTTTGATCATTTGCTGTTTTTGAGGAGAGATGTTAAAGTTTCTCTCCTTAATGTACCAAATGCTGGTCTATTATAGAGAGTTTTAATTTATAATTTACATTTCATATTCTTTATAATAATAATAATAATGTATTTTATTTATAGAGCGCTTTTTGGGAAACTCAAAGACACTTTACAGAGTAAAAAATCATAAAAACATAATTAAAACAACACACTTCAAAATATATAAAACACAACATTAATTACAGATTAAAAACATACTCTATAGATACAGTATATATTTAGGAATGTACAACTGTCGGGCTGGGCTGAGCCCCCGATCCAAGCAACACCCCTGTCTGGATCTTTAAAACTGTGTAGTGTGTATATGCTTCTTTTGCATTTGTGCTGTTAATAATGTATTTTTATAGAGAGTAGGGATGTCATTTTTACAGTTTTACTTTTTAAAGTGATTTAAAGGTCACCTATTATGAAAAATCCACTTTTTCCTGTCTTTTATACATAAACATGTGTCCCCTCTGTGTAAAGAGATTCTGAAAGTTTCAGGAAAAAAAGCTTCACTCACTTTTTATCCTGATCCATTTATATAGAAACCTGTCTGAAAATGAGCTGATCAGATTTTGGTCACTTTGTGATGTCATAACGATTTTTTGGCTTGTGTAACCATTAGCCAATAACCAACCAAGGTAACCCCCCCACCTTATCACCTAAATCTCCTCCTAGAGCACCATTGTGTTCTTTTTAACCAAATATCTCTCATGCCCCTTTCACACCAACGCGGTTCCAGGGCCGGTTCGGGGCTAGAGCCTGAAAAGCACCGGTTTTTCCTGTTCACACCGCAGCGGAGCCGCCTCTAAGCTCCGGAATCCAGTTCGTTTCAAGAGAATGGCAAATACAAGTTGTAACAAGCAGTAGTGCTGAGCAAAGTGACTAGAACGCAACCACACACTTATTAAAAAAAAAACACTTTATAAAGTCAGGCAACAATAGGATAGCAACAAGTAGTCAAGTTATAGTCAGTTTAGCTTCGGTTGCTATGCTAACATCACCCATTTTATACCAGAAAAACTTTCATAACAGCGTTGTGATGCCAAACAGCGTCAATTCAGACTGACACACATTCACTTATGGGGAATTGGGGATATGTATCAGCTGCTTGTGTGACAGTCGGACAGTGAATACTTTACAGCGGCCGCTGCTGTGAGTTAACGGGAGAATAAACTCCTGTGGAAGAGCAGCCAGCACTGCAGCAGTCGGTAAATGCCGCTGTAACATATTAATAAACAATTAACCACGGCACTCTGGAGAAAAGTATAAGGTTGGAGAAGTCGTTATTTAATTTAATCTGGCTTCGTATGATTAAAAGCAACACGATCATCGACCTGACGCAGTCCCCCATTGTTGTTGTAGTCAGCGCCGTTGAGGAGAAAATCAGCGACGTAAACGGTGACGTCATGACGCTGCAGCGGCAGCACCAGTCGGGCTCTGGGCGGTGTGAACAAAACGGGGGGTGAAAAGAAGAACCGGTTCTGAACCAGAAAAGCTCTAGCACGGAGCTAGAACGGGAACTGCGTTGGTGTGAAAGGGGCATCAGAGGGGCGTTGGGATTGGCTCCTTATTTTCATCTAAAGTAACAGACAGAGAATCAGCACTTTTGAAACAGGGCTAAAACAGAGGGGATTATGGGATGCTACAATGCATGATCTGTTTGGTATTTGGAGCCAAACACTTCAGACATGTTTTGTATCTGAGACCTATAATATATTGATGAGACCTTTAAATGTGCCACCTTGCTCTGAGTCTGTGCCCCAGATTGGCCACCCCACCAAAAAATGTCTAGACCCGCCCCTGTTACAGAGCAAAGGCTGCAATAAACTTTATGTTCTTGTAAATCTTTTATTGGAAGGCTATTCCATAGTGCGTTTAGTTCAAAGAGAGAGCGTTAGGTCTTCTCATTCAGGACAATGCAGATAAGTAGGTCAGGAGGACTGTTAGCAATAAACCAGCAACCACTCACTAGCCGTTTTAGTGACTGCAGCAAAGTCAACAACACTTCGAAGTCGATAAACAGCCGAAATAAATATACACTAAAACATTGATAACATGTGGAAAAAACTAAATGTCCCCAAGTTTGAGTAACTTGTTGTTGGCTTGTCTGAATCAGCCTAAATGTTTAGGATGAAGGACATTTCGCAACCGTTTGCTTATCAGTTTAACAGTCAAAGGTCTACAGATCTTTTTAGACACATGTGCTTGATATAAACACGTTTCAAACACTTGGAAATCTTCAGAGGCACTTAGTAGATGTCGACAGAAATGTAGAGGCTTTCGGCAGGACTTAAAACCGTTACATTAGGTCGTGTGCAGTTTAACTTTACGGTGTTGCAGAGAAAACTGAATGTAACTTTACAAAATAACGTTTTATTTACACCGAGGTGGTGCCCGATAGGGAAATGTCAACACAGACGCGAATAACTGAATGGAGGAGTAGAAAATAAAACCTTACCTCGATGAAACAGGAGACTGGAACCGATTTAACCCCAGTCAAAAAAAAACAAACAGCCGCTGGCAGTAGGCGGGACTTGCGGGCAGTATTTATAACCCGCGTGTCACTGACGGGATCACCCAGCAACGCACGGCAGCTAGTCAGATGCTGAGCACTTTACAAGTGTAATATCACCAATTTGTTTCTATTTATTTATTTTAATTCAAATCTCCTCCTTTTTTTATTGATTGTTTTTAAGGTCCGACCTGCTGTTGATGATGTGGGGAGCCACAATGATTTGTTTCTTCTTTGTGGCGGCACAGGTGACATCACAAGAAATTGTAAGTTATCGACTTCTAATGGCTAATGCATAAATCGTTTATGAGTTTATCTTTATGTGTACATGTAATTTAAGTGGTCTATATCTGGATTTTTTTTGCAGAAAGTCGAATGCCGTAAACAGACAAGTAATGGTATGGTTTATACATTTTTTTCATTCTATGGATGAGGATTCTGACCTCAAATGTTAATAATATAATGTTGGTTTTCAAGCCACTGTAGTGGATGATATCAAAAACAGTGCTAGTTGTATGCCACTGCAGTCTTTGAAGCTTTGACTGTTCATTTAATTTGACTCTCCAAAGCTTACAACTCTTTTGTGACATCATGAGTCAGGATCACACAAAAGGAATATTAACCCACCAAATCAGGAAGTAAAGGCTAATGAATGAATACATTATAAAAAAAGGAGGGTAATCACAATGGTTTCTTGTTCCAGTGCCACCTCCAGGAAGTGATTTCTCTCCATCCTCCCTGAAGGAGCTGAGAGGGGAGTTGGTGCCAGATGGAGCAAATTATATGATAAACATAAGCTGGGCAATCAGTGTTGATGGTAGGAGACAATTCTGCTTATTTTTTCTAAATGCAAACTTGTAAAATCCCTTGCCGTTGTTGACGTTGTAGACAGTTTCCCCAATGTATCTAACACTAGGGAGTTCTCTGGCTTCCATCTTATAATTGATTATAAAGTATTTGTTGTACAAAAGTTAGTAGCCAACTGATTTTTACTGGTTTTCTGTGAGAAGAATGCAAGGTAGTACTCCCACTTTGGTTTATATATGAACCATATATCTGATATAGATTTATCAGAAACTCGTTTAGTCTGGTTCATGCTACCGTACACAGGCAGATGGTAAAAACGTGTTTACCAAATATTTAAGCTGGTACAGACAGGGAAAATAAAATACAGTAACCCTAATCAATGATTTAAGGCAGTGCACACTAGACATATTTCAATATGGGCTTTAAGTGTCAAATATCCTATGATCAGTTTGAATAAAAACCAGATATATTGTATTTGTTCTCTCATCTTTTCAATTTTTTTAACACAACATTAACCCTTAAGCTTATGAAGTTATTGTTGTTGTATGTGTGTTGTATATACATGCCACTGTTTATGCATTCTTTGTTATGTTTGATCAATTAAATAACGTTTCATACATGAATAAGAGATTTTTTATAATAAAATGTATTTTGGTAATTTAATTCATGGCATTAATGTCTCTTGCAGCCAGTCTGAAATATCTGACAGACACTCGAATAATGAATATGGGTTCACCAACGTACCATTGTCAATACAACCCAATTTTGGCCAAGGCAAACCTCACAGGATCAAAGGTATCATGGATGGAATCTTGACTAATATATTTCTGGGTGTTTAATCAATGATTGTCTGCACTGCATGAGATTAAAATGATACACCTAGTAAAGACAATTTTTTACATCTCTTCAAATCTAGGTTTGGTTTCATTATTTATTCAATGCAAGGCATGGCTATAACTTCATCCAAGTTGCCAATCTCCCACTGCCACCGGTGAACAGCGGCATCAATTACAAGACGACCTCCATCATAGTACCTCGTTCAAAGCGTAAGTTTATTTTTTATGTTCCTCACTTCTTAGATACTTTATCAGAGGTAGCAGTTTTATATTTTTCACTTTTACAAGATATTTGAGAGAAGGACTTGTTTTGGTTATCAGGAGCCATTGATGCTTTATTGTTTATACAGGACAAACTGAAGATTATTAAAATGTTCAAATGTCATTTTCTGTTTTCTTTAGGTGTTACACCTAATGTATGTGCATATAATTATACTACCTTACAAATTATATACCTTAAGCAATACTTAACACAATTACCTACATTTAAATGAGGAAAGGTTTTTGGGTGTATGTCTTTGTTTGTGCCGACCCAACACAAGAAACAGTTCCTCTTCTTTGATACCTGTAGCAGTTTTATATTTTTCTCTTTTACAAGATATTTGAGAGAAGGACTTGTTTTGGTTATGAGGAACTAATGATGCTACGTTGTCTTTACAGTCAGGACGAACTGAATATTATTTAAATGTTTAAACCTTGTTTTCTGTGTTCTTCGGATGCTATAGCGCCTACAGATGAGCCAGAATCAGAATCAACGAGTGTATTACCAGGTTGGTTGACACGTACGAGGAATTTGACTTGGTTTCGTGGTGCATACATAAAAGTAAAACTAAAATAAAAACACAGATAGCGAACTATATTAAGAACACTATTATAACATTACAAAAACAAATAAGAACAAATATAGTAAAATAGAAAATAAAATAAAGCAGTAATTTACATTGAAATAGAATGCAATCAAATATAAAATATGTGCAGTAAGCAAACCAGATATTGTCAACATTGTGTGCATTAATGTATGTGCATATCATGTATGTGCATATCATTTATACTACTTTACAATTAATAATTCTACCCAAACAATACTTTAAAAAATATTTCTCTTCAATATAATTACATAAAGTTAAATGAGGAATGGGTTTTATGTGTATGTCTTTGTTTGGGCAGACCCACCAGCAAGCACCAACATCCCTGGTATTGTCAACTACACCATCATATGGGGGGCCATTAGGGGAGGAATGGCTGGTTTGATGATCCTGATTACCTGCTACATAATCTGTAAGTACATCACTTTTGAAATATATATAAGAAACTAGGTACCAAATTCGCAGATAATGATTGGATTTGACTTCAGGTACTAGCTACTGGACCAAATAATTACAAACTTGAAAAATCCTGACCTGACCCATTTAAAGTGACCTTTCTGTAACATTGTAAATAAGCTCAGTTTAACGTCTTGTTATCTTGCAAAGGAAAAATGCTGACCTTTCTAGATTTGAAGGTTGGATGACGGAAGTACTGAAATGTATCAAACCTGGGCTCACCACAAACAAATCAGAAATCCCCTCTAGGTTATATAAAATTGTAAAACTGCTGCCTGGTGCTGTACATATTGTAGCTCACCTTTACAAATACATAATAAGAATTGTAAATTAAAAAACATAAAGATATCTAACAAACCCACTTTTCATCCAATTAAAATGTCTACACAAATATTTGGTTGACTCGTTCAAATCATACACATGGTGAGAATCCATACCTCATAGGGTGGAAAAGTACATGCGAGAGACTCAGCCTGATCGGAGTGGAATCTGTAACAAACAACTAGTCAGGACTAATGTTAAATACCAATGTATCACAGTCAAATGCGTTGATTTATGGAACAACTTCAAGGAGTAAACTAATACGATTATTTTCTTTTCTTTTCCCAATCAATTCTTTCTTGCTCTCCAGATAAATACTTTGGAGCCAACTTTGCCAACTCATTGGTTTTCAAAAGGTTGCCCACAGCTCCCATTGTTCCTGTCCCTGTCCTGGTGGTGTACCCTGCTGTGAATTCAGCCTTCCAGCTGGCCGTGGTGGCCCTAGCAGAGTTCCTGCACGGGCACGGCGGCTGCAGCGTGGCTGTCGACATGTGGCAGCAGGGGAAGATCGCAGAGCTGGGGCCCATGCGCTGGCTGGCAGAAAAGGTCATGACTGCAAAGAGAGTGCTCATCATCTGCCCACAGGTAGGGATTTGAAGTTGAATGTAATATTTACAGCATCCTCCTCATACCTTAATAATAGAACAGGTCTGCCATGACAGTTTCCCTTCACTAACTTTGTTGCTTTTTATAATACTATACCTGACTTCCTACTTGACTCCTAACAGGTGTTCATGTGGGTTGTACTTAGCCAATTGCACAGAAAACTAAACGGCTGCTTTTTGGGGTCGTTTCTGCTAGAATAATATCTGTTTTCCTGTCCTTGTCCGAAGACAAATACTAAAATCTATTTTCTTTTCTCAGCCCCATTTACAGACCAGGGCCTCTACACCCAACGTAACCCTTCAGGAACCCTCAATCCCAGCTGCAGCTCAGGACCTCTACCCCCTGATTCTCAACATGGTGGCGAGCCATGCCAAAAGCCCCAGAGACTTGGCTAAGTTCTGGGTGGTGCAGCTGGGAAAGCAGCAGGACAAAAAGCTTGGTAATCTTCCACTCGAACTGAGAACCTGCAAGACTTTTAGTTTGATGAAGGACTTAAACAAGCTGTGCAGGAGGCTGCATACCAAGAGTAAAGATGACAAGACGATTTCCGATCTGATCTTTAGACCAGGGGTTGCCTACATTGAAAAGTGTACAGGGAAGTTAAGGGAAGCTGTGGAAAAGCTAAGTGGACAGCAGCCAAGCATTTTCAGTGAGAAGGAACCATTGGCATCTGAGGATGCTATTGTTTGAACATCTGCAATAAAATGTTGATTGATTTATAGAGAGGTTGTGTCGGGATAGGTCATTGGTGAAAAACTGAGTATTTTAATTTGTTGTCATCCTCATCATCATGTAACCTCATGAACACAAGCACAAAGAAAGAAAGGCATTGTAGATAACTTATCTTCTTATTTTGTACAATAAACAAAACAAAAAAACATATTTGTATTATGTTTGTTTCATCTGCAATCCTTCAAAATCAATTCAACAGAAACAGTGTGACGAGTGTGAGCTTGAATAGGATTTACGGGTATAAAAGTTGATGATCATATGTTCCACTTCAAAAAGTAGTTGATATATTTTTTCAATAATGTATTAAATTTGATTCACATTCACAAAAAAATATGGAGACCACTTAAGTCCACCAGAGAAGTCAGCTGCTAATGTTAGCACACTACTGAAAGATAACGTTTACAAATGCTGTTGCGTTGAGGCAGTTTGTCAACTGTTTGAGTCTTCTCTGCTTGTATGCATGCATTACACTACTGTCTACTTTTGTGCCTTGCCGCCACAGTGGCTGGTAAGTTTACATGCTTGATTTTATTATTTAGTATCTAAGTTGAGTAAGGTTATATATTTTATTCTTCTCCTCACAATATACATACACAAAGTACTTAAGATTACATGTAAATTAGCAAGGTTTTTCAAATATGTTTGACACATAGACAGTATGGTTTGACAGCGGAGCGCTTTGCAGCTGGCACAGACAAGAGGCAGGGTCAAGTAAACACATCTTTCCACAAATAGAAATCGTTAGTTTTTACCACGTGATCAAACACGGAAGTGAAATCAACTGCTGCCTCAACTATTCAGAGGAAGATCCACGCTTGGGGTCGCATTGTAAAGCATTTCACGAGCACAGGGTGGTTGCTACTCACCATTTCTGACTTTTTAGTCGACTTAACTTATCAGAAACCATGACTCAGGCTGAGAAAGAGCAAGACAACGGGAAGGAGAAAGAAAAAGAACGAGACAAGGAGAAAGAGAAGGAGCAACAACGCGGGGTGAAAAGACCCATCGCTCCTCCGGCCATCCCGGACCCCCTTCAGGAGGTAAGAGGGGGAATCCTGTGTCTTATTAATACTTCTTATTCCTATAAAGTATCCGAATATCCTGCTCTCAATCTCTAAAACTCACTATAGCTTTAACGTGCAAATACAGCCCATATACAGGGGCTTAATATCAGTTACTTGAACTCTCAACAATACAACATACTCAAGACATACAAATATATTACTGCAATAAAATCGTTTTTGTGACATATTGCTGCAAGTAAAATGCATAAATAAGTTAACTATTCACACAATAGAACGAGATAAAACAGAATGTACAATTTAATGATGCACAGTTGAATAATTATATTTTAATATGTGGACTATAAACATATGCATGTGCTATAAACATGTGTAAGTGATGACACTTACCAGAGCTCAGGAGTGTAACGCTTACATGCAATGTTTCAGATCATTTTTTTACTTGGTTCCTGCCTTTGGTTTGGAAGAAGTGTTCAGTACTGCACAAATCCCTTACTCAAACCATGCATTTAGGATGAAGTGGACGGCTGACTGTGAGCCAGGCTTTTTTCGCCCAACATCAGTGTTAGGCCTACTATATTGCTCTGTGGGCCCATTAGAGGCTGTTATATGATAATATCAATGCCGATGCTTCTCGCTTTGTGCAAGACATGCATATGTGTTTTTACTGCTGATTATCTCTCCCTGTCTTTCTTTTTTTACAGCAAATACAGAGCAATTTCATCATTGTCATTCACCCTGGTTCAAGGACACTCCGCATTGGGCGAGCTACGGACACTCTTCCCATTATACTTCCTCATGTGATCGCTCGCAGACACAAGCAAACTGGACAGCCCAAATATGAAGATGCCTGGCTGTTGAGAGATGGTCTAAATGTTAGTCACTCATGATCACATCCACCCACGATTCAGTCTTTTATTCTGTGTCTTACTCGGTTGTACTCATATTCAATTTGACATCTGTTAATGTACCATCACCGCTTCTACTTCCTGTGCGACAGAAAACAGAGAGTAATGAGCAGAGGCAGAACGGGCTTAAAATGGTCGAACAGGCCATCTGGTCCAAGAAGATGTCCAATGGAGTGCGGAGGACACCGGTGTCCGCTGAGCAGGTGTGTATTATAAAAGATAGAGAACTGTTACAGATACTGTATATAATAGTGCAATATTCAACAGCAACAGGATACAATAACATAGTGCAGGTGTAAGTGATGTTTCTCTTATTTGGAAGAAATGTTAAGCACCTTTGGCTGCATGGCTTGCATGTAGAGTTCGAGAGTAAATAAAGGGGTAGATTTAAGGGAATCATTTGTATCATTTTAAATGGGTTTGTAGGAGTTACTTATCCATATCAGTGTACAGTAGATTGAGGTCAGCACACCCCAGTTTAGAGAAACAGACTGAAGTACCATCACTAAAGCAAAGCAATGTACTGCTGTGGACAGGGGAAGCAGCAAAACCTATGTGTCCTACCTAAATTATATCAGTTTAAGTGTACGCTATATTCTATATCTTCACCACTCTAACTTGCAGTTAGACAACCTTTTCCGAAGCAAAACTGAAGCCGTTTTACACTCTTGCCAAAGCTACCAGACTCCATTTAAGGAAAAAGTTGTTTTACTTTGCGGATGTTTCTAGCCTTTTTGGAATTTGTATAGTCAGAATGAACAATTTTAAGTATAATGAATAATCCTAGCGTAGGTCTAGTGTCTAACGCTGATTAAATAAAAAAAATGTTGTGCTTGTTTGTGTGTGTTAAGGCCAGGTCTTATAACTGTCAGATCCGTCCAGCAGTACTGGACAGCAGCTCCAGGGTGAAGTGGACCAACACCGCCCACCAGCCTCCACATCTGGTTGGAGAGGAGGTGACTGCATGTGACTGATCGCTCCTTTAAAACAACACATTTACAACTTTATTTCCCTAAACTTCTTGTCTGTTTATGCCATGTTCTCCTTGTTTTCTCTGGCCAAACCCCACCCTTCCATCCTGTCATCATGTAGGCTGTTTATGTGAATCCTTCTGACTGTTACAACATCCACTGGCCTATAGTCAGAGGTCAGCTTAACGTTCACGCCGGTCCCGGAGGCTCACTGACCGCCGTCCTGGCTGACCTCGAGACGATCTGGAGTCACGTTATTCAGAAGCAACTAGAGATCCCCCTCAAAGACCTAAAGGTAGAACAAACCTCCTCACCACTTCATAATATCACTTGCTTCCGAGGGGCAAAGTTGATAGATGGTAGACAATAATGAAAATGTTAACAAACTATGCTGATAGTAGAATACGTTTCTTTCTTACATGACTGGTTTCCAGTATTACAGATGCATCCTGCTGGTCCCCGACATCTACAACAGACCGCACATCAAAGAAGTTGTCAACATGCTGCTGCTTAATATGGGCTTCTCAGGTAATTCAAAGCAGCAAACAACAAAAACAAACATATTCACTGTTATATTCTGCCAAAGTCTATTCAGGGTAGTTAAGGAACTATTCAATATTCTCTCTTGACCTTCCATTATCTCTGTCCTTTTATGTGTGTGTGTTCAATAGCAATCATCGTGCACCAGGAGTCTGTGAGTGCTACATTTGGCAGTGGGTGCAGCAGTGCTTGTGTGGTGGATGTTGGAGACCAGAAGACCAGTCTGTGCTGTGTCGAGGACGGAGTGTCCCACCGGAACTCCAGGTGGGACCATGAACCACTTTTATGTTTAATCTGTGAATTAGTTAATTCATCATCATTATATTAAAGTTGCATCTCAATGCTCCCTTTTACACATAAGACCAATGAGTCCAAATCAGTTAAAATACACTGCACATTTTGAGAAACTTCCCACTGAGACATTACAGAGACTGTAGTATTACCTGATGTGTTCTGTTTTTTTGACGTTGCAGGCTGTGTTTGGCATACGGCGGCTCAGATGTGACCCGTACGTTCTTCTGGCTCCTGCAGAGGGCGGGCTTTCCTTACAGAGACTGTCAGCTGTCCAGCAGACTGGACTGTCAGCTCCTGCAGCATCTCAAGGAGACCTTCTGTCATCTGAACCAAGTGTGTGTTTGTCATCTGTGGGGGTTTCAGTTAGTCGTTCACACCTTTGTGTCTATTTTGGATCACCATAGTCGTGCTCAAGAATGGAGAGAGAAATGTGCAGCTTTTCAGATACGGATAGAAATGTGTTTGTCCTTCTCTTTTTCTTCATAGGACATATCAGGACTTAAAGATCATGAATTCCAGACACGTTTCCCAGAAGCCCCAGCTCTTCTCTATCAGGTTCGACTAGGGGATGAGAAATTACAGGTACGCAGGTTGAATAATGATATGCGTTTCACATTAGCATTGGGATCTTTTTTACTTTATTCTGTCTCTAGCAACTGAAATGTATTTGTGTCTATGGCTCTATTTGTGTGTTCCCTCCCCCTCTTTGTGTGATTGGCTCATTTTGTGTATGCATGTTTTAGGCCTCCATGGGTCTTTTCTACCCGACCACATTTGGCATTGTAGGTCAGAAGATGACATCACTTCAGTACCGTTCCCAAGGCGACTCGGAGGACCCTCATGATGAACACTACCTGCTGGCTACACAGAGCAAACAGGACCAGGTAACACACATAGATATTATATAATCAATTCTTAAGTTTGAGTCTCTGTGATTCTTCTTTTGTTATTTATAATTCTACCATTTTGTCCACCAGTCCTCCAAATCTGCTGCAGACCGAAAGGGTATTTCCAGGCCGGGTGGGGGTTTGGACGGGGAGATGAGCGCTCAGGGGGGGATTGGGGAGCCCTCTGACCTGGGCAGGGGCTGTGGGAGTGGCGGCAGCGGTGCAGGAGGGATGAAGGGGGAGACGGAGTTTGGGACTGCGCAGGGGGAGTGCCTGATGGGGGCAGGAGAGCTGGAAGAGCCCCCGTCTGCTCACCTCTCGAGGAAGACTGCCATCATGAGCCAGTTTGAGAGCAAGGCCCTGGGACTGGATAAGGCCATCCTGCATAGCATCGACTGCTGTGGTAAGGATGGACAGAGGTTTAAATAAAGTAATAAACAAGGGAACAAAAAAGAGAAGTGGAAGGAGTATGAAAGAGTGTTGTGGTCAGTTATTAAGTGGATAAACATTAACAAAGGAAGATTTTTATTTTGCTTTCGAGAATAAAGTTGAAATGTTGCAAATAATGTCGAATCGTCGGTATAAGCGCAAAAAGAAAATCTCCAAAGTTTGTTCTCAAAATTTCGTGTGAGTTTAAAAAGAATCTGACAAAAAAAACGTTTTCTCCAATTTCTTTTTTTCTCAAGCCTTCGACTAATAGTAACACTTTTGTATTTTTTTTATTGTATTCTCCAAGTGCAGATTAACATCCCTCTTCTCATTCTCCCCTTATGCTTGGCCCTTGAGACTCTCCCATAAGAACATTGGATGTTTTATGTTGCTCAGGATGTCCTGTTGTGGCTCATCTTGTTTTTACTTTATTTTAAAAGCATCGGACGAAACCAAACGCAAGATGTACAGCTCCATCCTGGTGGTGGGAGGAGGGCTCATGTTTCCTGGCGCTCAGGAGTTTCTTCTTCACCGCATCATCAACAAGATGCCGCCCTCGTTCAGAAGGCTGGTAGACAACGTGGAAGTTATAACGCGGCCAAAGGTAACCTGGAAATCTCACAAAGTCCGAATAAAATGATCAATTAGTGATGGGAATTATGGCTCTTTGAAGGGAGCCGGATCTTATGGCTCCGTTCCTTTCAAAGAGCCGTTCAAAAGAGCCGTTTTTCTTAAAGGGGGCGGGGTTACTAGGTTTATCTGCGAAATAATCACCAGGATAATGATTGACTCTATTGCCAGACCTAATGTCAATAATCTGCATTGTAAACATGACACAAGGTGGCGCCATATCCATGTCATTCATGTCAGTGAATGTACTTTGAATTTACCCTCTGTATGTGTTAAGTAAATAAAGTTGCCTTGCCTTGAATGAAATTCATGCAACTCTTAATATTAGATACTGTGTTTTTAAGTGGCGATGGAGATTATTTGTTGATCCTGCTTTAAAGGATATTTTGCCTTTACAAATGGTGCGCTTTATCACTGCCTGGGTTTTGGTTGAAGTGAATCCAAATGCGGCTGCGTTTTCGCGTTTGGCTCATTTTCCATCCGAAAAACACGTCGTCTACCTGTCCTGTACCACTTGTTATGACTTCTCTCTCTCGCGTATTCCGTTAAGACCCACCCCATCTCCCTCCTCGTGCTGAAACCTACCAATCAGAGTAGAGGCGGGTCTTCACAGAATACGTTTGAGGAACAAAATCAAGCTTTTTAAAAGGCGAGTGGATTTTGGCAGGCAGTGAGTGCGGACCAACGATTGAACGATAACAAGAACGGCTCTCACCAAGTAGGACTCGGTTCCCCTCGTTCGTACCAAAGAGCCGTTCCAAAGATTCGGCTCGTTCGCGACCGACACATCACTATTATCAATTGCACGGGAGGGTGTTCAGGGGACTTCATTTTTCATTCATCTCCATTTATGTCATACGTTGGAAGATAGTAAGATGTGTACAGGAAGCAGCTCTTATAATGTACTATTTTGATGTGCACATGCTCTAGGACATGGACCCTAGGCTGATATCGTGGAAGGGTGGAGCAGTGCTGGCCTGTCTTGACACCACCCAGGAGATGTGGATCCATCAGAGGGAGTGGCAGCGCTTTGGTGTGCGGATGCTTCGCGAGAGAGCTGCCTTTGTCTGGTGAAACCCAGACAAAGGCAGGAAACCCAACAGATTTGACTTGAATCTAACACACAGGAGACGTAGTGTGAGCAGCACGTTAGCTGAGCAGCAGCCTCAGTGCTCAGAGTCTACATAGGGTGCTTTCAGGCTCAACCCAACATTGAGACTTGGCAGCTCAGAATAAGACAACACTTGCTCAAATGCATACAGTTGATGAAGCAGTGTTGTGGAATTCACAATGACTACACTGCTAACACTGTTGTTCAACAATCTTTCTTTTTAAGTGTTTTACATTTTTGGTTTCATCCTTCAGAAACACAGATGAGGTCATTGTAACTTTTGAGTCTTGAGTTGTGTTCTGTAAATAATACTGCAATTATTCTCTTTAGAGACATTTGGAAGTATGTAAATAAACCCATTTCACTTCATTCACAATTGTTGCATTTGATTGGAAAAAACCTAGTCCACCTTTCTTGGAGTATTAAACATATTGAATTGAAACGCAAGGTTGTTTGCATTACGTCCAACACTTTTAAAACATGGTAACCTGCTCTGCAACATTTCTTTATATTCTTATTTTAGTCTTTAGTGTGAAAGTATTAGAACAAAACAAACTCGGTAGTAGCATGTTTAAACATCTGCACATCTTTATTCAGACAGAAGGATACAAAACAAAGACTAATTTATGATACCCAGAAAGGAAGATCATAACAGACAAGCCAGTGACACATCTCTCAGTGTGAGAGGAATGTGTTGGGGGGGGGGGGGAAACCAGAGAGGAAATAATGTGGATGGCTGCTGTATCGGCCATTCTGGCCCCTACAGGTAGGTAGGTATTCCCAGAAAGGCGTCAAGAAACTGCTTTTGGCAGCGGCAGCCGGAGAGTAGGGACTTCAGCACTGTGACATCACCATCGTCCTTTGAGCTTCTCAGCAAACAGACACTGTGCAAAGCCCCGCGCCTACACTGAATGTGTAGGCGTTTACCTAAAGAGAGAAGAAGGGGTTAGGCGATTAAAGGCAACGGAGTAATGTTTCCTTCAACTACTTTTTTTAGGCAATTTGTTTGAATAAATCCTTAATGTCCCTTTGTGAAACAGGCTCCAAAGATAGAAGGTAATGTTTAATTAAAAAAAAAATTCCTCACCTTCCTCATCCTCCTCCTCCCATTGGTGGAGAGCTGGGCCCTGCACCGTGGTTTATTCTTCCCATTCGTTTTCTGCCACCAGGGGGACCTGGAGGACTGAAAACACAAGGAACAGAAAAGTGAGAACATTAGGAAATGAGGTAAGAGGTACTACAAATGTTTTAGTTTTTTTCATTTGCTTGCCTAAAATAGATATATGAAACATTTATACAAGGGCAATATACATGCCAACACTCTCTTCCTGAAATACACAAGACTCTATGCTGCAATACATTCAACTGCTGCTGTAGTAATCAACAGTGCAAGAAGGTGTTTGAATCTGCAGCTCTCAGGTCAGGACTACCTTTAGAGTTTAAAATACATGGGTTTTAAAAATGGATCCAAAGACAGAAAAAAACAAAACATGGTTATACCTATACAAACAAATCTGAACTAGTTCCTGAATACTGGCAAGTACATGCTACCACAAAGACTGCACTGCCACCATCAGATTAGGGGGACTTCAATGCTCCAGGGACTTACCCTTTGCCATCACTGAAGCGTGACAAAACACCGCTTCCATCCTTTCTCACGTCAGGGTTTATCATCGACTTAAAACTGGTAGAAAACAAAGAAGATCAGAAAATACAAAAACTTTAGTATTTAATCAGTTATTTGTTTCATGACAAGATACATGAAATAAACATGGCATAGTTAAGATGATGAATATGGTAAATATTATACCAGCTACACATCAGCATATACGTATTGTTATTGTGAGGATGCTGACATGCCCCTAGGAGACAGCAGTGTGGCTGTAGACTAAAGACTTGTAATTATTTTACAGTTCAACCACTTTCCCCGCTGTAAAAATAACAAAGGTAAGAAAAACTTAAAGAATAGAATAGGATAAAAATGACAAAACAATAGAATTGATTAATTTAAAAAGAGATTAAAAAAAGATGACAAGACTTGGCTTGTTTAATTTTCCTTATTTACCAAATATTTTGAGAGCAATGGGCTCGGTTATGAAAGGCTGTGTCTACCCACATGTTTAATCTAGATCACAGTCTCTCCAAATCAAAACCTACAGGAGGAACTCAGACTTGGGGAACTAGTTTAACTTGCTTAAATAATGTAAGATAAGCATCAACATGTGAAACCCATATTCCTCCAGCTAGTAGAGATATAGGTGGAGAATGAACAAAGCTGTAGTGAGGTTTGATTACATTTCCTATATCATACATAATGGCACTCACAACAGGCCGATAAAATCCACTGCTCCCCAGAAGAAGTCGACCAGTAGGGACAGTCGCCATGGTGACTGTAACCTGCTGTCCAGCACCTGACCTGAGATACACAGAGAGGTGGATCAGACAAATACATTTGTGAAGATATTCACATTCAAAACAAAGAGTGTATGAGTGTATGATCAAGTTAATGGTTTACCCGGATGTACCCATTATCCTAGCATTCAGTACACACAGACTACAAGCTAAATCAGAGCGACACAGAACACAACATGATCCCGGGGCTGTAACATCGCCTTATTCCTACTGTAATACAACCTGAGATGATATGCTGACCAATGGAGGGAAACACTAATATATCGTTTTGTTTAAGACCCGCTTGATACATTGAGCAGTTATTCATGCTGCGCAGATCAAGCTAGGCTAGGCTTGCTAACGACCTAGCTGTTAGTTAGCTTAATGTAGCCTAAAGCTCTGCTAGAATTACACATTGTATATTCAAGTGGTTTGTTTAAAGTGGAAATGGTTAACAAAGAAACACTGTCGATAAAAAAGATAAATATTCACTCTGAAGATGAGAAAAAGGTTGAAGAGACAAGGCAAACCACTCACCGTTAGACACGTACACCATCTTTTAGAAAGTAACAACACAGCTTTATCAGCTGTGTTTACAACTGGCGGATGTACTTCCGGTTGCGTCATTCAGACGTTCACAAAAATAAATGATGTACAATATTGGGGCTTTAAAAATACGTTTTCCTAACATATCTATTCAAATAAAAACGAGGCATGTCCTTAAATGAAAAGAGACGAGACCTCTCAGTCAAAAATAATGCTGAATTGTTTTAACAATTTTCCTATGAGAAAGAAAAAACACTATAATCCATTTTATAAAGAGGTCTGTAGCCTACCTACTTCCCCGGAAAAATACAAGTAAGCATTGATTTGGAGTCATTAGTTCCCATGATATGAAACTATTAAAACAATCCAAGAATTATCAACTAAAAAGTGGCTGAATTTTCATACAACTATTTATGAAAAATAGAAGGTGCACTCAAATGTCTTTTTAGGCCACATAACATGGACGCTTTTAAAATATTACTGAAATTATCTTAGTTGAAAACATTTAGTAAAATCAATTCATGATTCATCAGTATTCAAAAAGGTTTTGTTTTGTAAAAGACACATTTAATATATATTGTTTAGCGTGATAATCACTATTAGGAACAAGTTAGCAAAGAGGTAAGTGAAACCATGTGGGTGAAGAGTGAGATTCCTCAGTCTGTGAAACTGAGGAAGAAGACGTAGATGGATCCGGAATGAACATCAGGTGAATATCCAGCCTTAAGCTATTCTATTATATAATGCACTGGCACTTATATTGATGGCATTCACTTACAGTGGGAGCTGCAAACACTGAAGCAAGAGTGAGAAGAGCTTTAACATCATCAAATGCTTTCCGCCAACTACCGGTTTTATATAATCTCTTTAACAAACAAACATACACACATTTTTGATTCAGTGTAATGTTTAAATAAATAGTAAAAACATCACATGCTGTATGTTGTCCCACTATCATCCCTGCAGACAGTACAAGCAAGTGCTATATAGGTGAAATGTATTATTCAAAAGCAAAGGGTTAACAAGACCTTCAGTTATCACTCAATGCATCGACAGTAAAGAGTAAGTAGTGCAGGTGCACAACATCTACATTTCAAAAAGTAGACCAAAGTGCCTTGTTTTCAAACCCCTTTGATACCTTAGAAGAAACGTTATGGAGACACCATGCAGAACCTGAAATGCTGTAAATGTTTTTGAGAATATCTTACGATAGGTGCTGCTTTGTTTTTTAATCAGGTTTTCCTGATACATATAACCTCAAAAAGGCAAAAGCACCCAAATATGGTGTAAAACAGCAGATATCACCTAAGAGTTGGTGTAAAGATCAGGAACCAATGCAAATGTGTTGCTTCATTATAAATAATACATGTAGTGTGCTGCATTGATCGATATAATATACTGTAAAGCATCTAAAGTATGTATATTTTAAACTATTAGGTAAAAGTATACAGTTATGTTTTCTTGTAAACCAGTAAAAAAATAAAATTGAAAGCTTGAGAAAAGCCTGAATATACGTCATTCATGCAGAAATAAATAATACATATAACACACTTTAAATAATCAGAGCCATCGCATTACACAGTTGGCAGATAAAGGGATGAAGGCATTCTGTGGTTTGCCATTAACATGACCAATGTGGATTAGAAATGCTGAAATGCAACAAGTTAGTCCTTTGAACTGTTCTGAGGTTCAAGTCCTGTGCTCTCTTCATCAGGTGTGTGTGTGCGGTACTCTTCTTCACTGATTTGTGTTGCAGGATCTATTCTCTTTTCAGATGTGTCTTTGTTGTAATCTTCGACACTAGCCCGGTGTTCAGATATTAAATTGTCTCCCACAGAGATTTGTGTGCCAAACTCTTTGTCACTTGTTTGTAGATCAGGTGTTGTGTTTTCTCCACCAGGTTTCTGTATGCCAGACTCTTTGTCAGGTTCAGTTTTATCAATGTTTTCATCTGACTCCAGTCTGTCAGTTTCGGTCTCTGCTTTCCGACTGGCTGCTCCTCGAAAAATACCAGCTTTGTGAAGCTCTCGCCGTATAGTTTTCACTGAGACAGTGTGAGATAGATGTCTGTTTAACTCTGAGGTTATCTTTGAGGCTGTATACTCAGGGTGCTCATCGACTATCCTCAGAAGTGTCTGTCTATCCTGTTCAGTGAGCTTAGACTTGCGCCCACTGTTCTTCTTTGCGGATGCTGTTCGTCCATGTTTGATGTATACAGTCATGACCCTGGAGACTGTTCCTCTTGCCACATTAAACAGCTGAGCAGTTTTGGTGACAGACGCACCGGACAGGCGTGCAGCAACAATTTGGCATCTTTCAAACTCTGTAAGGTCACTCATACTGCTTTGAACACTGATATTTATGTGTTGACAGTCTCTGTTGGAGCCTACAAGCAACCCCCACAGGCAGGCAGGCCCTGTAATTCCTACGTATGGCTCC